GTTTTCTTGGAAGTTTTGTTTTGCTTCAACTTCCCCCATTCTTTTCTTCATTTTCTTGTTTGTGGTGTCTATCTCTTTAATTCTGTCAGTCGTATGCTCCACCTTCTTTGCCGTTTCTGCCAGTTGGAGCTGCTGGGATGCGAAGTTTTAATTCAGCGAAGTCAGTTGCTGGTTAATACCATCGAGTTGCTCCATCACCGGCTTGAGCATATCCACTAACATTTTCATGATGTTTGCTTCCTCTTCCGGTTTTGGGCTCTGACTACCCGCCGGTTTCACTTTAAACTTTCTTTGCGAGGCCGCCATTTTATACGATTGTTTACAATTCCAAACCGCTTCTCACGGACTCAAAAAATCGTCACCTCGATGTTAGCGCTCAAGTAAGTCTCTCAAAACAAAATTGCTGCTTGTTTTCCCCCTGCCCCCTTTGTTACGCTTATCTGTCCGTTCGCATAAGAGGCGTCCCTCTTTGCGCTCTGCTTTTCCCACTGGGGTGGTAGTTCGCTTTTAAAATATTCTGCTTATTTTGAACTCATGTTCATTGTCAGTTATTTCTCTGACCTCGCTCACAATAATCAGTATTCTGCTCGATCTCCAGTGCTTGTCCCAGTCGAATCAGCTTGTGCCCAAGGGCCACACAGTGGCAGGATTGTCAGGGCGGAGGGAAGCCTCAATTCTCTGGCATTTAGCCGTCAAAGAGGCTGCCCCTCAAAAGCCCTATGGCCTGGAGCCTATCACAAAGGCTCCGTGTGGGTGCTACTTGAGGTAGCACTCCTCCATACCGCTGGTGTGCGAGTCGCTCCCCTGAGGTCTGGGGAGAACGACCGCTATCGCTGATCCACAAACCGGAACCCAAAGCATCTTATTATCATTCTCCTCTCCTCCATTTTATCCTGACAACAACTCTTTGGGGTAGGGTCAGATGAGAGTGCATGACTGTCCCCAAGTCACCCAGCAAGCTTCCATGGCAGAGCAGGGATTCAGACTTGGGGGTCCCAGTTCCTAGTCTGACACTCTAACCAGTACATGACACTGGGTGACTCTGATATGTTAAAGTGATGAAATTGGTCAAGTATGAAGCACTGGCATAATGTTTACTACTGTAGTACAAGAATACCACCATATGACGTCTGCTTTAAAACAACTTCATTGATTTTCTATCTTGTTTCCAGGCTCAGTTTAATCTGTTGGTGGTTCTCACCTTTAAAGCCTTACATTGGTCCCAAGTACTGTGTCTGAAGAACTGTTTGTTCAGTGTGCCAGCTGTATTCCTCCCATCAGCTCCTGCTTGGTGTTCCATCCTCTTAGGAGTATTGGGTCCAGGCAAGGACCATTTCAGCTATCTCCCCCACTTAGTGGATTGTCCTGTCTGAGGAGGTCCCGCCAACTCTGTATGCATAGATAGGGATGTAAGTCTATTCTGTTTCAGAGAGCATTTCAGTGTTTATATGGGGCTGTTTGTTATGGTGAGAACAGTTGTGTTTTTGACTTGCTGTAGACATAATATTTCATGTTGAACATTGTTTGCTGTATTTGTTATTGATGCCTGTTGGCATTTTTTTGTTCGTTTTCTTGGTCCACTCATGGGAAAGGAGGGCTGTAGCTATAAATGCTTTAAATAAGTGGGTTATAAATATAAAACTAAAATGGTGATTGAGTTGTCAGACTACTATCTGTAAAGGTGCAGGCAGGGTGTACTTCACAGAAAAGTTGCTGTGACCTAACTGTATGAGAGCTCTGTCTTGGGAAGAATGCTTATTGTGTGGGGAAAGACTGAACTTGTTCACTGGGAAGGAAGGAAAAGTACAATGTATAGACTATATATGTATATTTTCCTTGCTGATATCTTTTTATGTAAAGCAAAGGTTGACCAAAGGAAGGTGAGGGAGTGCTATATAATGCTAGACCAAGAATACCTGTACAGGAGCCAGCCACCTGATTTGGATTGTTCTATGTATTTATCTCACTGATTCCAGGCCTCAACTTATTTATTGTACCTTATGTCTAATGAGATAGAGTAAATTGTCTGAACTAGTAATGTATGTTTGACAGCATGAAGTAATAGAGTCTAAGCTAGAACAGTGGAAGAAACACTTCCAACTGTAATGGGGGGTTCCATGTTCAAGAAACCCCTCCTTTCTTGTAAAAATAAACAAGAACGTTGAAAGAAAAAAGCTTTAATCCAACACGGTACCTGCTGTTGATTTTCTACCTTACAGAGTAGGTATCTCTGTTCTGTGCTGGTGGTACAGCCAATTCTATCATTTCTGAACTCAGCCACCTAATACTTCTGCAAGTCTAGACCAGGCCTAAGTGTATTTTACATATCTTATAAAATATTAATTTCTTATTTTTCAAAGAATAACGAAAACCTTTATGTAGCACTTAATAAAAAATTATAAGTTTCTAATGATTCTTTGTATCTCAAGATACAAAAATAAATAATTCTATACAGTTTACTCTTATTGTGTTGCCTCATTGTTCAGGAACCGAAGCTTAGAAGTTCTTGTGAGGGAATTTAAAAATCATTTTGTCTAGTGAAACCTTTACAGAGAGGTTGAAGATCCTTAAGAGCTTAAGTGGGAAGAGGTCCCAGGAGGATGCTTACGTCAGAGAGCTTTTAAAAATTTAGTTTTTTTCATTTATACCCTTCTTTACTCACCAGTGGGGACCGGAACTGGCTGACATTGTTTTTGTCTCTTTCATTGTATCCTTTCCACAACTCTAAGAGATTGGTTAACTGTACAAGACTAACTAGTAAGCTTGAAGGCATGGTGCAGGACTGTGCTCCTTGGGGAACAGAAGATCTGAGGAGAACGGCTAACACAAAGAGTAGAGGAAGGGGTAATAAGAAAGGTAAAGTACCAGAAAGCGTTCTGTATGGTCCACAGGAAAAGAACATAGGGCGATGGTAAGTGATAAATGTAGTGAATCATAATGTAGTGAAAATAGGGTTATAGTGATTTTGCAATTTATGGATTTTCTGACTCCTAGCAGATTGATGTTTGTTTTGTTGGCAGGTTGTTTTGATGACTTGATATTCATTGCTGGGGTTGAAAGAGGAGTTGTGGGTCCATTCCTCTCCGTACCATATTTTGACATGTCAAAGAAAAATAGTTGATGCTAAGTTGGCTCTGCTTCTGTTTAGAATGTGGCCTTATTCGCTTTCCTTTCCCTTTGCCTTTTGCAACCCAGGTTTGTGAAAGGAATTTCCAGATGAGTGTAAACTAAACTTCTTTCAAAAATAAATTATGCAAAGGAAAACATACCATTTTCAGCACTGAATCAGATTCTAGTACTTTATAACTTATTTTCAGCATTGTGTTTTCTGTATATGTGTCTGGAGTACCAAAAGCACCAGTTCATTGGTAACATGGTGACAAATACTGTCCTTTAGTTCCAAGAGTACTTTCTGTTTCTCCGGAATGCCCCAACACCAGCACATTGCTGCCCTGCAGTTGGAACACTGTATAATACCAACACCTTGGAGGCATTCAAATCATGTGATAAGAAGTTTCTTCTTGAGCAAGCAGCAAATGAGGTGAGCTAACTGTCCCTGGTATGTGGAATCCTTGCTTCAGGTTCTGTTTTGGAAAGCAGTTTAGTTTTTCAGACTTGCTTCAAGTGATGAACATATAGAATGTCTGACTTCAAAGACATTATGTTGCTATATAATTTTAATGCCCTGTGATATTGTGTAGAATGAACCATTTATAAAGAACAGGCATGGTATAAATGAAATGAGTAGCATGAGGTAAGAAACCTCAAAACTAATTGTTGGGGGGAGGGGTTGCCTTCTTTCTAAGTCTATTGTCTAAGGCCAAAAATTGTATGTTCCATCCTAATAAGGTTAATAAATATGTCTGTAATGATTTAGTCTTGTCTGTGTTAAAAGTATTTAATTTAAAAATAGAGCCCCAACTACTTTACGGAGTCCCTGTGTGGATTGAGGCAGTTAAAAAGTCTATTGGACAGGTGCATACAAGCTTTTTAAGAAAGATACTAGGTGTCCCACCTTGTGCCCCGTACGAAGCCCTCAGTCTGGAATGTGGTCAAAGCCTTATGTCTACGAGGGCGTGACTTGTAACCTTCAAATATTGGGCCTGACTGCACTATAACTCTGATCCCACCAGCTATAGTTACCAGATGTTAACTGAGACTTAGGGTTCACCCTGGTTTGCCACTACAGAAAAAAACCTAAGATCCTTGAATATCTCTCTTGAATCTATGCTGATGCTCTCTGAAACGGAGGTATTTCATAAAATTAAGAGCAGATTACTGGAGGCAGAATTGTGGTATAATGCAGCCAATAAGACTTGTTCTCCTCTGAACCACGGGATATTTCCCATGGTAGGACGCTTGCACAGTTACTTCTTTCAACTGCAATCTCCAAAACTGCACAGAATTTTTACACTGGCCAGGCTTAATGTTTTATCCTTGGCAATTTTATTTGGACAATTCCAGGGTATTCCCTTTGCCAATAGACTTTGCCCTTGTAGATGTGAAACTGTTGAAACAGTGTACCATGTGCTGTTTGAATGCTGGTATTAGACAACAAATTTTATCACTAATTTTGGGTACTGTATCAGATTTTTCCTGGCCAAACAAACTAATATTTCTGTTAAATAGCACTGGGGAAAACATAATTGAACTTGTGGCACTCAATACGTAGTAAAATTTTGCAGGTGCTCAGCGTAGGGTAATTTTTAATGGAATTGTATTTTATGCAGCACCTGAATTTTTATTTCTCAGATAGTATGTTTTTGCCTTTGTGAAAATGCCATTAAAGGAATTGTTTGTGTGTGTAGTCTTGTCTTCATGTGATAGACCTATGGTATCTTTAAAAAGAAGGAAACCCTTGTATTTAAGCATTCTGTTAATACAGTTTATATTAGCACAGTGCCCATTGCTTTAACTGGTTTTAACTGTCAAGGTTTTCAGAAGCAACTTTAATGCTTGTACCACTGAGGTTTTTGAGAATTCACTGAAAGAAATTTGGGAATGAAGCCTTGACGATTAAAACTGATAAAGTTTGTACTGTAGACATATCTTTTATGTTGACTTATCTTATGATGAAATCAGTATTTTTAGCATACCACATGTGTTTCTAACACACAGTCAGTTCCCCAGAAAGCACTTTCCTGGGGGCACCTCTGAGTTTGGTGTCTCTACAGCTTGCACAAGATTTGTTCTATACAAATCTGAACTTACTGAACCTGCACCACAGGTGATCTTTTTTGACAGACGCAGGTTCAGGGAGTTCAGGAGAGTACAGAACAGATCCTGTGAAAGCTGTAGAGACATCATAGTTGCAGGGGACCTCCCCCAGATGCTCCTCTACATGCCTTCCAAGTCCCACTCCCCTGTTGCTTTGAAGTTTAATAAAGATCTAGACTGAGTGGAGACAGTCTATCCAGAAATGTATCAGTTCACGAATCAGTATGAACCTCCACAAACAGCTTGAAAGTTCATGGAAAGTTCATGAAGGTTGATCTGCCACAAACTTCACTTTGTGAACCACCTAAAATTTGTCACGTATATTAGTTCATGAGCCAGTTTGCGCCGATCCCTAGTGTGCAGTCAGTGAGCTTAGAAGAGTGATTGCTTGTCATTAAGCATAACATATATGGCTGCCTTATTGATAGCCAGACAATAGATCCATCTACTGTCTGCTCTGAGTGGCAGCAGTTCTACAATGGTATGAAAAGTCTGTTGTACTTTTTGAGGTCTTATAACTAGGTAGTCGAGAGGAGCAAAGGCTTAGTGGTAGAACATCTGTTTTGCATGCAAGAAGATTGGAGTTAAATCCCCAAATCTAAATTTTTTTTAAGGATAAGGTAGTAGAGGGTGATGTGAAAGACCCATACAGGAAATCCTAGAGAACTGCTGCCGATTAGGCTAGACAATATTGACCTTGATTGACCAATGGGCTGAGTTAGTATAAAGCAACTCCATGTATTTATGTAAGACTACAGGGATTTAACAGATCATCATATGCATGCAAACATGTTGTGTTCTGCTTGGTTGTGGGTTTTCCCTTATTACAACCACTCCTCATTTTTATAGAAACTATTCTAGGACAGTGAGCTGCATGATATGAGTGATACAGGCAGGTACTGAAAGATACATGAATTTTCCTAAGGTATTAATGTTTTGGAAACCCAGAGGTAAGTTGATAGTATCTAACATTGATTTCTGTTTCTCACTGTTAGATATGGGATTCAATAAAATCAGGTGAGGCCATTGAAAATCCTGTCTTGCTAAACAGATTTCTGCTTCTGACATTTGCAGTGAGTATACCACATTTAAAAATAAACAATTATAAATGTTTCATATTTGTATGTAAAATTTGTTGTTATTTGGTTTTGGTAGTTTGGGTTATCTTGATAGTCAGCTAATAGATCATGAATCTCATAGGACTAGGCTCAAAGCACATGTGGGCTCTGGAATCTTCTGTATTGTGTAGCAAGTTACTTCCGTCAATGTCATCCTGTAAATGACTGTTTTGCAGACTAGTTTTAATACCATTTTTGCATACTAAAATAGTTTTCAAACATTTTATCAGCTGTAACTTATCTAGAGCTCTAAGGGTTTAGAGGACAAAAAGTAATAACAAGTGGAAAAGTTCTTTGGAGCAAATTAGGGACTGCACTTCAGTGAGGTTTACTCGTACCCTAATTTTTCTTTGAATCAAGCCTAGGAGGTATCCCAAACTGATATTTAAAGCTCAAAAATTCTAAAATCAGCTTTGGAATTTTGCACAGAATCTTTCAACACAGAAAACAGTGCTAGTGTACGTATGCAATATTCTCCCCTCCCATGGGAGTACTTGAAGAAAAATTCTGATGTGCACAAATGCCTCTTTCCTCCCATGGGAGTACTTGAAAAATTCTGATGTGCACAAATGCCTCTTTATAATTATGATTTTGGGTGATTTGGGGTGTGTCTATGTGCATCAAGGGGGAAAAAGGAATGGAATTAAAACTTCTAAGGCATTTGTCATCTTACCTACGTGCAAATGTATTCTAATATAAGGGATGGGTACGTGGATAGTTTCTCTTGAACATCTATTATTTGAATTACAGTGTTTACTCAAATGCAAGACTAGGTTTATGCACAGGTGTGTCACAAAATAAGGAAGTCATCTTATATTTGTATACAAGTTACAGTGATGTCCAATAATATTTGTGTGTGTTTAGAATTTTAAGGGGATCATTGTACATTCAGGGTTGTCTTCCTTTCAAGTAAATATGGGTATAACCCTCTTTGACCATAAGGTCCTCAAAGTGGCATACTTTGTTTTTAAAAGACAATACTGGTTTTCTCTTCCACTCCTCATTTCTAATATACTAGCTCCATGCTGCCCTTCCTGAGATGTTCTGATGATGGCTTCAGTGTGGTCTCTAGTCCTTTCTTCCCAAGACTGGAGGGCTTCAGTGTCCAGGGAACAAGCAGGGAAGAACCAGATCCTGCTCTTCCTATCAGGACCTCCAACAGGATAGGGAGAACATATCCTAGGGACTACTATATAAAACCTTGAGAAAATCATCCTTATCTTAGCTGAATCTTGATCCTTATGTACTATTCTTCTATCTCACAGTGTTCCCTGTCATACCATGAAGTCTTATAGAAGTCTTCCAAGCAGGCCCGTAGCTAACACGGGGCCCACGGGGCCTGGCCACCTCGTGTTTCTTCTGGGCCACCTCCCTCCCGGGCTGTCCCCAAAGTGCCTCAACCCACCACCTGCGCTCCGCACTGCCTCCAACCTGGCTGCCCGACAACTGAGCTCCTTGGGCACTCCAGAGAAGTGGAATCCTTCATCCCCAGAGCTACCTTCTGACCCCCCCCTCTCCTTTAAACTCAGCCAAATTGCCGCCAGCTCCTGCCAGCTTCTCTTCCTCACCATCCACCCTCTCTTAACCACAGGACCAGTCTCTGTACTTCAGCCCGCGTGCACCTGCTTTAAAAACCACTTGCCTCCCTCCCCGCTGCCCGAGTCCCCCCAACAAGCACCGCTGGAGTTTTTCTAAGGGAGCGCGCACCAGAGGCGCCAAGGGGCAGCCCTTTACCTGCACTCTGAGTGGCCCCCGCAGCGCCTGCTCCATCCCGGCTTCCATGACCTCTATGACTGGAGGCAATGCGCCGGGTGAGGGAGAGTGGAGGAGGACACCTGCCACTGCTGCCACAACCTCCCTCGACCACCACCACCCCATCTCGTCCTCCCGCCCAGCGAAGTGGCCAAGAAAGCGCGTGGCCTGCTACCACCGCCAGGGGATTACCTGGAACTTTTGATTAAATTAGCTGCCGGCCCCCCCATGGCCCCCTCCCCAAAAAGTCCCTAGCTATGGGGCTGCTTCCAAGCTCCAAAGTGATACAGGGACAATCCTTGTTACTGTTGTGATCAAGTGCCTCTCTGGTGGTGTCACTGTCCCCCTGGGCGGCAAATATGTGAGATCTCAGACATCATGCGTTGTACTTCCCATTGGTCTTTCGTGCCTAGAAATTGTTTAGTTCTTCAGATTTTATGATTGTACACATGCATTTCCCTCTGAAGAACTGACTAATTCCATGTGCCCAGTGTGGCATTAGGCTTATATTTCCCAAAGATCAGCCCTCCATGCTGTGTGGTGAGCCACATTTATAATGTAGGGAATTCTCAATAAACAGCTTATGGTATAAATGAGGTCTACTAATTTGAAGGGGGGGGGCACAGGGTCAGGAAGAAAAAATCAGCTGGAGCTTCTGCAAGCTATTGGACTCCTCTACAGAACTGGTCAGTTAGTTGGTTGGGACCCAAAGTTAGGTCATGGACCATCTTTAGTGGAGTTTGCACCAAGGCCTAGCCACCATATCAGTTTTTTAAAATCAAATTATACAGTGAAGGAGAAAGCAGAAAAATACAGGAACATGGACAGAGTAAAGAATAGCAGCTTGTGGGGAAGGTTTGTATAGTAAAACCAATCAAGGGTTAGGCTTCAAGGTGGAGGGCTTAGGTCTGGAAAAAGTGAAGACTACTGAGTAGAGCAGCACTTTGGATCATGGCTCAGGTCTTTATTAGCTTCATTGTTGAGAGAAAATTTGAAACATATACCATATGATTCAAATTTTCTCTCAACAATGAAGCTAATAAGGACCTGAGCCATGATCCAAAGTGCTGCTCTACTCAGTAGTCTTCACCATATGATGTTTGCAAATATCAGTATGGTACACAAGTTAGAAGGGAGGACTTGTTGACCTGCTATGCCTATTTGTCACCCTCCCCAAGTATCTAGTCATACATTACTCATCTGTCCCTTACCTACCCATCATTCTCTTGCTTTGCTGCTACATTGGTTCTTGAGGGGGATCAAAATTTTATGAAACTAAGCTTTTTTGGCATTTAAGTATACATTTAAGGAATAGATCAAATAACAAACATATACTTTAACCTATTCACTGAGCTTCCTATTCCATATGATTTTTGCAAATATCAGTATGGTGCACAAGTTAGAAGGGAGGATGTTGACCTGCTATGCCAAGTTTATCCCCCCCCCCCCAAAAGTATCTAGTCATACATTACTCATCTGTCCCTTACGTACCCATCATTCTCTTGCTGCTGCATTGGTTCTTGAGGGGGATCAAAATTTTATGAAACTAAGCTTTTTTGGCATTTAAGTATACATTTAAGGAATAGATCAAATAACAAACATATACTTTAACCTATTCACTGAGCTTCCTATTGGTTCCTTTCTGTTCTTTCTGGAAATAGAGCTGTCACCAAATATGAGCATATTTGTGGATTAGGTTATATCGATTCAGGATTTCTTAGTTCAGATATTCACCACTTCAAGGGCAGATTGTGCCAATATTTTTAAAGTATAGCTTTAGTGTACTTTGTAATAAATGCATATATTTAATATATTTAATTTATTTCTCACAATATATTTTTCTCTCACCTAACCTTTGGGTACCCAACTTTGTTGCTTCTTAAGGTTGTGTTTTTTCCATTTCTGTTTCAGTGCGCTTCTCAGCCACTGCCCTTTCCATCCCATCTTGATCAATAGATGTAAATATGTCAGTAGTAGAATGCGCATGGCTGAGTCCAGTTGTGTCAATGAGTGTCATGGTGTATCTAGTAGTTTTACGTTTTGCACATATTCTCTTTGTGCATTGTAGAATTATTTTTCTAACACGTATATACACAATTTCCTCTCTTAGGATTTAAAGAGATACCGTTTCTATTATTGGTTTTGTTACCCTGCACTTTGTCTCCCGGAAGGCATCCCTTTGGTTCAGCATGCCTTGCTACAAGGTTCTCTCCAATTCAGGTACATAAATACTAAGGTAAAATTTTGTTAGTGCTTATTAGTTAGTCATTAGGTATAAAATGAAAGGATTTATTGTTTCTTGTTTGTGTAACAAAATCATAAGCAAAAGAACTGATTCCTGTCCCCGGGGGGCATCCAATCTAAATTCAGTTGGTTCTTTTTTTCTTTCTTTTTTAGTTAACTCTCCTAAAGAGGAGAGAATTTTATTGCTTTAAAATTTTCAGAAAGGGGGAGGGTATATAGCGGGATTAAGAAAAGTGGTGAGTGGTATCTTAATTAGTAAGTTAGTCTTTTGTTAGTAACAATAAATTCTTCAGCTTCTGTGTTTGACTGATCGTCCATCATCTTGACCTGTAAATAACAAAATTTTTAATAGTTTTAGTAGTGTCCTTTTGGGTTAATACAGTCCTTTAATGTGCTCTCCAAAGAAATCTTCAAGTCTTGGGGTTTCTTCCTTTTACATCTCTCAAGTTGTAAGATGGAACCATTCAGTTGGTTCTTGATATTTAGAAATGCTCCAGTCCAGCAAGCCTATTTCAATGTTGGAGCATTTGTGCATGCAGAAAACTCCCAAATGCACAAGAGCCATCTCCTGCTCTCCCTTTTCCCTCCAGCTGGTGTGTGCATTCTATCTACATGTAGTTGTTCTTGGCATCTGAGGGAGTAGAGTGTTGCACTCATGGAAGTCCTGTGTGTCATTGAATTGGAAAACTTGTTTAAACTAAGCTTATACCTCTTATTTGTAAATGTTTTATTTTGACCTTGAGAAAGTTCTGCCTTGTCACATTGCAACTGTGTGAATCAGTGTAATAAAATCCCAAGGATAATGAATGATGTTTTGGATAGCTCATTTTCAGTGGATACTAGACACATAAAAGATTTCTAAGCATTTTCTGTCGGTGAAAGACAGGATTATCACCCTGCTGGTGAATCCAAATATAGACAATCTTGACAAATGACCTGCTCTTCAAGTCTTTTGTGTGATATGTTTCTAAAAGGTAGGATTCTGCAGGGCACTGCTGTCTCTTACTGTACAATAGTGTGCATTAACACTAGATAAAGGTCCCTGATTTCAGTTGACAACTCAAGGTCTTGGGTAATGTGAGTGGTAAACAAGAGCTATTGCCCATTATATGTGTATAAAAAATCTTAGCTAGATGGGAAAATTAGGAATGAAGTGGTGTCTGGGGTCTACAGGCCATTATGATGGGAAAAGTTTAGTGCTGTATATTCAAGAAAGTGAAACAAATTTTAGGAAAAAATTGAAATGATAAAAATGACATTGTATGGGTTTTGACTGTGTGTGTTAAGTGCCCTCAAGTTACTTACGACCAGTGTTCCCTCTAAGCTGAGTTAGTGTGAGCTAGCTCACAGTTTTTTAGCCTCTGGCTCACACATTTTTGTCTTAGCTCAGTAAGGATGGCTTTAGAGCAAACTAATTTATGCAGTACCCAAATCACTTGCTCACAACTTTAATGCCAGTAGCTCATAAAGTAGAATTTTTGCTCGCAAGACTCCACAGCTTAGAGGGAATATTGCTTACGACCTATGGCAACCCTGTGAATTAATGACCTCGCAAATGCCCTGTTGTTAACAGCCTTGCTCAGTTCTTGCAAACTGTGGGCTGTGGCTTCCTGGGTGGAGTCAATCCGTTTCATGTTGGGTCTTCCTCTTTTCCTGCTGCCTTCAACTTTTCCTAGCATTACTGTCTTTTCCAGTGATTCTTGTCTTCTCATAATATGACCAAAGTATAATAGCGTCACTTTAGTAATTTTAACTTCTAGGGAGAGTTCAGGCTTAATTTGGTCTAGAACTCAGTTGTCTTTCTGGCTGTCCATGAGATTCGTGAAACTCTCCTCCAACACCACATTTTAAATGAATCAACTTTTTTCCTGTCAGCTTTCTTCATTGTTTTGGTGGTGGAGCTTCCCTAAGGGAACTAGTGCTGTTTGAATTCCAGAGCAAGTTTGTCCTCTGGATTCTTTTGAAACTCTTGAAATGTATGCCAAATATGTTTGATAATTTGAAGATGACCTTTAATCCTGGTAGTCAGCTAATGGGTAGGTCATGGCAACCCCTTTTAAGTGTAGGCACTTGAAGTGCCCCTGCTTCTCCCCAAAGGATGAATCCTAGCCATTCACCCAGCACAGTAACTTATGTGTACAAAGGTTTTTTTGCTCATCGTGTAAAAGGTTTGAAGAAGTATAGCTGAAATGCAGACTTTCCACCATCTAGTGTCTCCGATTCTAGACAATCCCTTAAGTGTTAGAATTCTGTTGTTCCCAGTGGGTCTGTGAAATTTGTACAAATTTGAACCCAAGATGTATCCATCATTGCCTACTTTAGGGAACAGTTGGCTCTTGTGGATTGTGTCCACAGATCTTACCCTTTGTTTGTGTGTCTATGTACTGGTCTTTTGAGATATCCAGTTCATTATTTGTGCTTTGATGTCTACCAAAATGAGTCATTCCAAGTTAGAAGTTCCAGAAATAATATTGGGAAACTGATCATACAGTTTGGGAACAGCATTGATTGAAATGTTGAAATTGGACCATTTATGAAAAATATAAAAGAGGCTTTCTTGTAATTTGAAGACAATTACAACAATCACTTAGTATCAGTTCATAGCTGTATGTGGAATCAGGGATATTAAACTTGTTTCAGCAATACAGTGCTGAAAAACATCTTAACTGATTTTGTTTTAATTTTTAGAAGTCTGTCCTTGTTCAGCACAGTCCAGCTAATTTGGTATAGTTGGAGACTTTCTCAAGATTGAGATTGGAAATCACAAAACTCTGACCTGTAAATCATGTGCAGAGAGCTTTCTTGTATTCTAAATCTTAGTCATTCTCATACACTGCACCATATTTTTGAGTCTTCCCTTAAAAATCAGTGGGATTCATCTTATCATAAATATGGCCAGGATCAGGGAACTTTCAACAAGATCTTCCAGTTAAGTTCTATGAATACCTAGGTGGTGAAGGAACTATATTCAGGAAACTATATTTCCCCTTTGCATGCATGTCTGCCCAGACCATTTTCATTTTGTAAAATAAGAAAATTTATTTATTTATTTATTTATTGGATTTGTATCCCGCCCTCCCCAAATGGGCTCAGGGTGGCTTCCAACAGCGGCAAATGCCATAACAAACAATTAAAACAGTATAAAGCAATCAATAAATAAAGTGCAGTGCTCTAGATGTTAACTTATCCCTCCAAGATGGGATCCATTTATCAACCTAGCCTGACAACATAAGTTCTTGGTCACCTAGGCGTCTTCCCAGGGCCGGTTCACTTATAGATCGAGTCCACCATCGTAGATGGCAACTTGGTGGTGGCACAATGGCGGCGGCGGCTCCTATGCAAAGGCCTGGCGGAATAGCTCCGTCTTACAGGCCCTGCGGAACTGTGCCAAGTCCCGCAGGGCCCGGATCTCCTCTGGGAGCTCTTTCCACCAGACAGGAGCTGTCGCCGAGAAAGCCCTGGCCCTGGTTGCGGCCAGCTTGATGTCCTTGGGGCCTGGAACCACCAGTAGGTGCTGCACCCCAGACCGTAGTGCTCTTGGGGGAACATATGGGGAAAGGCAGTCCCTTAGGTGTTCTGTGTTTTAAAATACCATTCTCTCTGAATCATCGGGACAGAAAAATTGATGATTCCCCCCCCCATTAAAAGTAGAGTTGAAACCTCAGTAGTATTTTAAGCTACTCATAAAAGCAAAACCATTATACAGAATCATATAGTGGTTTATTATAATGAGGTATATAGTATATTGAAAATTGCAATGTTTGTATTTAGCTTTCCAAAGTTTTCACGAAAATACTTCTAAAATTACTACGGTTACTGATAGACTGTAGTAGGCATTAAGTAAACAGAATTTCAGGTTTAAGAGAGTACTGTGAATTGATCTTTTTCTTTCAGATTCAGTCACTTCAGAGTGCTTTTGATGAACTTTGCCAGAAAGAAGGTCATACAGCCTTGCCTTGTTTTTTAGTCAAGTACCATGAGGATTCAGTTCTTGTGTCCTTGCTTAAAAACTGGGATAATTTCTTCCCCGATCCAAAGCAAACAGTAAGTAGTGATAACTAACATGTGGCTGAAATTGTTGGAATAATAGTTTATACATTTCATTGGATTTATTTGTGCTGGCTTACATTACATTATGTGTAGACCTTACAGACAAAACAAATTACAGAATTCAGGCTGAGCAAAAACTGTCAGGCTAGTTGGATATCTGAAAAGGGACCTTTCAAAAGAGATTAAGGTATATTTAGGATTCAGATTACAGTCTGCGTTTCCTGGTTCAGAAACTAATTGTTTTAACTAACCAATGAGTCAAGTTTTAACTAACTAGTGAGTCAAGCTAACGTATGACTTTGTCCAGAATAATTGTACCAATACCTTACTTTATCACAGCTTGGGGAAGGTCTCCATCTTGCTGCATTATGCGTAGATTTTAGCTCTTTCCTACAAAGTGATCCTTCAGTCCAAGGATGGGATTGTAGAACTAATTCTACAGTTCTTTAGAATTTTGCAAATTGGTAAATACATTAATTTGTACATTCCAGGGAACAGTGTTTGCTGCTATGACATAGCAATTGTATACTTTTAAGTATGTCTCTCCTGCTTGTTTACACAGGGTAGACATTAGTGTGGAATAAATTTACAATAACCATAAATAGCGCTCTTTTTTTTTACATTGAGTTAATGTGAGTAATTTCTTTTCAGGTGACACTTGCTGTTTATGACCCTTGTAACTTTGCCCAGTATCCAGGATGGCCACTGAGAAATTTACTGGTCCTGGCAACACAACAATGGTATTTATTTTTAAATGCTGAAGTCACTGAGACTTCCTTAAATGCCCCATCTATAGGTATATTTATTATAAAGTAAGACCCATTGAACTTGGTGAAATTTGCTTCTGAATAAATGTGCAGAATTGGGATGGAAATCTTATTTTTTTTTTTTTCTTCGTATAAGCTGGAACTTCTTGAGCTGCGTAGTTCACTCCTGCTAATATTTTAAAGCCAGTGTGGTATTGTGTTTAGAGTGTCTGCTTAGGCATAGGGAGACCTGGGTTTAAATCCCTATGTGCATTGGCCAGAATGCAGAGAATCACACAAGTAGGTCCACATACCCAAGGAAACGTAGGGATAGTTAATCCAAAGAGCAGTACCTCCCACATACAACAGGGAAATCAGTTTGTGAACATTCAGAAACAGAATACTGCAAGATGCAAAGGTTCTTCAGAATTGGATACCTTCAGTTGCAGTTTGAATCTTGTATTATTTTTTAATAAGTGGGTTGTATTTGTGGCCTCTCATTGGCTTTTAAAAAGGGGTTAGACCAGTACAGTACTCTGCAGCTCATAGAGAGCTGCATTCACCGTTGCCATCTACCAAAAGAGCCACATGACTATTGTATGCCCTGTGTGCCATCTCACCAAACACTAAGATACAATAATACAATAATACATGATACAACTATTATTAACTATAACCTCTTTACCAGCCTGAGTAGCCCAGAGTCAACTGAGCTCTTTGGAGCTTGAAAGCTCAGCAGGGTCCTTCACAGTTAGTACTTGCATGGGAAGCTATTATTTATTCAATTCAATTTATCAATCACCCTCCCTGGTGAAACCAAGCTCAGGGCAGTGTATAATATAGTCATATAAATCATCAATAAAGCAAACTAAAATGTACATAATGCTATAAAAACATAATCATATGGTGCTGAAATCCTAGCCACATTGTGGGAAATGGCTGTCCTCAACCAAACACTGGTGGAACATCCCTGCCTTACATGTCCTGTGGAACCTTAAAATGTCCCGCAGGGTGTGGATGTTATTCGGCAGACAGTCCTGCCAGATTGGAGCCAGGGCAGAGAAGGCCCTGGCTCTGGTCGAGGACAACCGGGTGTCTGGGTTGCTATGCAGAGGAAGGCTATTCAGAGGAAGGCAATGGCAAACCACCTCTGCTCATCTGTTGCCTTGAAAACCCCATGAGGGGTTGCCACGTGGTGGTTTCAACCTGACAGCACTTAATGTTATAGCAGCGCTAATAACTCAGCCTGATCCTATTAGAGTTTGGAAGCTAAGCAGGCTTAGTACTTGGATGGGAAACGAGCCAGGAAGCCTGGGGCTGCTGTGCAGAGGAAGGCAGTGGCAAACCACCTTGGCTCATCCCTTGCCTTGAAAACCCCATGACATGTAAGTTCATGGGGTCACCATGAATGGGTCGCAATTCGACGACATGGTTTACTTAAAACCTTTTTCATTACTAAAATACCTCTTGTTAGCCAAATTGCCTTGAATTGTTATTTAATATGGGGAGTTATGGTCTTAGATCAGGCAATAGGCAACTGCGGGGGCAAGCATCTGTGTATACAGGGGTGCAGTTTCCTCCAGGCACACCAAATAGACGCTGAGACTGACGTCAGTATAAATTGATTCTGTTTACTGAAGGTATTTCAAGCACACAATGACACGCGCACACATACAATTACACAGCATCTAGGAAGCATAGATCGAATACAAAGAACACATTCGCATTAGCAGGATATTTCGATGATGGGAGATACTCTACCTGTCCTGTAGTTGGATGGAGCGAATCTCAGGAAAATGAGGGGGCTATTGGATGGCAGGGAGAGGGCCGTGTCCTGAGTTGGCAGGCACATGGTAAGACTCTGGCTGTGCAACCAAGAGTCGGAGACTTCGGGTAGGGAGGGGTCAGGTAAGGGAACAAGAGTGCAAGTAAGAGCGAGCTGGTGCTGCGCAGCCTCTTTTATAAGGAGGTTAAGGGGTGAGCTTAAGCTTGGCCACCTGCCTTGGCAACCTCCTGGTAGTCCGTCCCCAAAAATATGCTGACTGGCACTGGGGTCCAAGGTCCACAGGAGTGGTCAATGTTGAATCTAATGGGAAACTAGATTGAACAGTGGCACCTGATGGGATTATGTCTTCTGCTGGCCAGAGGCATTGTTCTCTTGTTGTCTCATGTCTGCAGTTTCGACTAGGTGATGCATTAGGTGGGAACAAACATGTTGCCTACGTGTAAGCATAAGGGGTACTTCATGGAGTTTGGTCCCCTGCCTTCTGGCCTGGCATGGTGGTTGCCTGGCTTCTCAATGCTGTATGTGGCTAGGGAGCTGGTTCACCTCACTGCAAGTAAGAGGGATGGTGACATACAGGGCCCATGGACACATTGTTTCACAGGAAGGCTTCCTTCTTCTGGGCATGTGTCTGTAGCTCGTAGCATTTGGAGTCACCTTATAGTTCAGTCCCTTTTGCACACAACTAGCACAGGTCAGGTTTTTCATAACCTATGAGTTCATAAAAGCTTGATGGGGCCTCGTAGGGCAACACTCTGCATATGTAGAATTGTCACTCCCCACCATTGTTGAAACTTGGTATTTGAAGTGAGGGGAGAGCTTCTCTGCCTGCCTTCTTGCTCTCTTCTCAGCATGAGACACAGCAAGTCAGATGAGAGAGTGAGATTGCCAAGGTACAGTTTTTCTGACTGTGAAGAAAAGAGAATAAAACTGCCACTGTGGCCAGCTTGCTCTCTCCTCAGCTGCCTAGGTGTTGGAATGAGAGAGCAGAGGCTAAGGAGAAGAGCTCCTTATTTTATTTAATTTATTTATTAAATTAGTTAATCACCCAATTCCTGCAATGCAGGGCTTTGCGCAATATACATCATTCATATAAACATCAAGATCGAGTTACCATTGATTAAACAATTTATAGAGAAATTTATGTAAGTTTCTTTTATGTTAACCTGATGTGATTTGTTGTAGAGACTGCCATCACCAAAAAATGGCAGAGACTAAACAATTTGAAAGACTGATTAAGGGAATTGGGCTCCATTCTTTTCTTGTAAGTATTTCAGGGGCATCTAGTTGAATGCTGTTCGAAACAGGATACTACATTGGGTGGAACGTTAATATAGCCCTACATGAATGCTCTAATGTTCTTAAACATCCTGCACAGCTTTTATGTGCTGGAATGTTTTAACTGAATGAAGTCTAAGTTAGGATTGCAAAGGGAAGCTTGCTTTCACTGTAATTAAGAAGTGTCTATGTTGCCAGTATGTGTATGGCTAAGTTTTAAAAAAATTCAGAGGATTGGATTTATATCTTTCACATTAAAAATGGTAGGAATCTCTGCGACCTCCTATGCTTCATTAAACATAGTTAAGGCGTAATTGATTTGTGTTGCACTTTAATTTCTGTTGAGTTTACAGTACCTTAACTTGTGGACCAAGGGGCAAGGGAGGGATGGTGGCAGGAAGAATAACACTCATACCACATTAGCTGGGAGAGAAAATGGCCATGGCCTATGAGTATAACCATAGGAGCACCAGTGCAGCATAGGGCAGGATCCAGAATTGGGTGACCTGCCTGTCGGCTACTAACACAACCCTTCACTCCAGCCCGCCTGCTGGGGAAGCACCGTGGGATGGCAAGTTCCACATGGGCATACACTACTTTGTGGCTCCCTTATCACCTGAGGATTGGAGCCAGATGCCAGCCCCTGAGGTGGGCATAATGTGGAACAAACGCACCCTCAAGACACCTTATGGGGCATGCATGCCCCAATATCCTTTCCCCTTTTCTTTCTTCCTTCCCGTTCACCAGTTAACCTTTTATTTATTTAGAGAATGTTTATGCTGCCTCTCCAGGACCTTGCCTGAGGGGAAAATAATAAAAACAAGATATTAGAAGATATTAAATTAAAACCCAGCATTAAAAAACCAGCCCAGTATAAAATCATAGACCATAAAAACAGATCTTAAAGTAACAGTTTTCCAACTAAAATAGTGTTCAAAGATCAACCTCTGAATTAAATCTGGGTAAACAGGTGAGCCTGAGGGAGAAAGGCATTCCGTAAGCAAGTGCCACTACTTTAAAAGACCCATCTCTGATTGCTACCTGCTTCACCTCTGAAGGTGGGGGCACAGAGAGCAGGGCTTTTGAGGTGGATCTTAACTCGTGGGCTGGACAGTATGGGAGGAGGTGGCCCTTCAAGTACCAGGGCCTCAAACCATTTAGGGGTTTAAAGGCAAGAGCCAGCACTCTGAATTGTACCCAGAGAGAAATGGGCAGCCAGTGCCGATCTTTCAGCACTGGGTTGATACTATCCCTGTAGAAATTTGCACCACGATATCCAGCATTTAAAATAGACCACTGTGGCAAGATCACACGTTTTCAGGAATGGCCATAGCTGGCATATAAACCAAAGGAGATCTGGGCCTCCAACTGTAGGCCAGAAAGCACCAGTATCCCCAGACTGTGACCCTTTTCTTTCAAGGGGTATGTAACCCCCTCCAGGACAGGATGACTCCTCAGTCCTTGAGCAGTTTTGTCATTGACCAGCAGCACCTCAACCTTGTTTAGACTGAGATTCAGTTTATTGGTCCTCATGTATCTCATTAACATCTTCTGGGTACTATCCCTGTATCCCACCCTAGACAAGAGCCTGGCATCTTGGACAAGCTGCAGTTTCCAGACCATTTTCAAAGACAGATTGGCGTAAAGTGTGTTACAGTAATCTAACCTGCATGTAATCAGAGCATGGATCACTGTGGCAAGATCACGCGTTTTCAGAAATGGCCATAGCTGGCATATAAGCCAAAGGAGATCTGGGCCTCCAACTGTAGGCCAGAAAAGCACCAGTATCCCCAGACTGTGACCCTTTTCTTTCAAGGGTTATGTAACCCCCTCTAGGACAGGATGACTCCTCAGTCCTTGAGCAGTTTTGTCATTGACCAGCAGCACCTCAACCTTGTTTAGACTGAGATTCAGTTTATTGGTCTTCATGTATCTCATTAACATCTCCAGGCACCTATTCAGTATTTCCATGGACTCATGTGACTTATCAGTTAAGGAGAGGTAAAGCAGGTTGTCATCCACATATTGGTGGCACCCTGCTCCAGATCTCCTGATGATTTCTCCCAGCAACATCATGCAGATGTTAATCAGCATGGGGATCAAGATGGAACCCTGTGGGATCCTCACAACAACCCTGTGAGATAGATTAGGCTGACAGAATGACTGGCCCAAAGTCAACCAGGAGACCTTTATGGCAGAGTGGGGGGGGTCTAAACCTGAGTCTCTAAATTCCTAATCCATCACCCTAACCACTACACCACACTGGCTGCCAGCTTTTCCTACTTTCCCTGTGAAAAAAATCTGGCTGCCTTTCCCTGCGAAAAAAATCTGGCCAAGTTGCAAAAGTCATGCAGTAGCAAGTTGCTCAGGTGAGTTGTGTGGTGGCCACTGCCAGATACAGCCAAGTCATACAAGTTGTGTGGAGGCTGCCACTGAGCTCAGGTGAAGTATGAGGCATCAAGTCATAGCCACTGCTGCACCTGAGTGAGCTGTGCATATTACATGGCAGCAAGCTGCCTGGTGGTTTCTGCTGGGCCTGGCTCCACTGAGTCCTCCCTCCAGGGCAGGAGGGAGGGAAGCAGCAGTAGACCTGGAGGCTCAAATAGCCCTGGGAAAGGCCCTCCCCCTGCCTTCTTCTGACAGAAAAAGGGATTGAAGGCTGGCAATAGTGTTATGGTTTCCTGGCAACCTTCAGAATAGCACTGAAATCTCCTTTCTTAAAGGTACGAGTGCTGCTTCTATTGTTTGGGGGGGGGTTAACACACATGCACACACAGTGTGTAGTTGGTTTCAAGCTTCAGATTTTTCTGCAAATCTGGGACTTTTCTCAAGTTAGCCCCTGAGGTGGGCATAATGTGGAACAACCCCACCCTCAAGACACCTTTTGGGGGGTCCCCAGACTAGGGGAGGCATGCGTGCCCCAATATCCTTTCCCATTTTCTTTCTTCCTTCCCGTTCACCAGCTAACCTTTTATTTATTTAGAGAATGTTTATGCTGCCTCTCCAGGACCTTGCCTGAGGGGAAAATAATAAAAACAAGATATTAGAAGATATTAAATTAAAACCCAGCATTGAAAAACCAGCCCAGTATAAAATCATAGACCATAAAAACAGATCTTAAAGTAACAGTTTTCCAACTAAAATAGTGTTCAAAGATCAACCTCTGAATTAAATCTGGGTAAACAGGTGAGCCTGAGGGAGAAAGGCATTCCGTAAGCAAGTGCCACTACTTTAAAAGACCCATCTCTGATTGCTACCTGCTTCACCTCTGAAGGTGGGGGCACAGAGAGCAGGGCTTTTGAGGTGGATCTTAACTCGTGGGCTGGACAGTATGGGAGGAGGTGGCCCTTCAAGTACCAGGGCCTCAAACCATTTAGGGGTTTAAAGGCAAGAGCCAGCACTCTGAATTGTACCCAGAGAGAAATGGGCAGCCAGTGCCGATCTTTCAGCACTGGGTTGATACTATCCCTGTAGAAATTTGCACCACGATATCCAGCATTTAAAATAGACCACTGTGGCAAGATCACACGTTTTCAGGAATGGCCATAGCTGGCATATAAACCAAAGGAGATCTGGGCCTCCAACTGTAGGCCAGAAAGCACCAGTATCCCCAGACTGTGACCCTTTTCTTTCAAGGGGTATGTAACCCCCTCCAGGACAGGATGACTCCTCAGTCCTTGAGCAGTTTTGTCATTGACCAGCAGCACCTCAACCTTGTTTAGACTGAGATTCAGTTTATTGGTCCTCATGTATCTCATTAACATCTTCAGGCACCTATTCAGTATTTCCATGGACTCATGTGACTTATCAGTTAAGGAGAGGTAAAGCAGGTTGTCATCCACATATTGGTGGCACCCTGCTCCAGATCTCCTGATGATTTCTCCCAGCAACATCATGCAGATGTTAATCAGCATGGGGATCAAGATGGAACCCTGTGGGATCCTCACAACAACCCTGTGAGATAGATTAGGCTGACAGAATGACTGGCCCAAAGTCAACCAGGAGACCTTTTATATCTTATCAGAGTATAATCTGTATTTCTGTGTGAATATAAGAACTGAGAACATTGTAGAAATTATATAGACTAAATATTTGTGCAAAATCCCAAAACTGTTTAGGAAAAACCTCCCTTTCTCCTCTACCTTTTCAGTCTTTTTGTTACAGCGAATCCTAGTGAATGGGTTGGATCCAGCATAGTGCTTCCTTGAGTGCATGGGCTTCATTCCCACAGAGCACAGCTTCATTGTTCTCCTTTCCAGCAGCAGCCCAAATGTCCCCTTCCAAATCCCGGTCCTTGGAGTCTTTCCCCAGGGAGAAGGGTTTCAGGGAGCATTCTGGGTTACTGCGAAAGCTGCAATCTGTGGACAGATGCTGGCACCACCTTGAAATGCTGTGCTTTATCCAACCGAATATATTCTTTGTACAAAGCTTTGAGTTCAGGGCTAGCTGTTATTAACTGGCTTATTCAAAATATTCTAAGATTACATAGTAGAGTCTTTGAGAATCCCATGGTGAATGGGGATAATTGCAATAATTCTGTAGTGTTTCTGTTATTAACTTGAAATCAGCCTCCCCTAAATCGTTTGTGTTTACAATGTAAATTAATACGCTGTAATGCAATGTTTTGGTCTTTCCTTTGCCTGGTAATGCAGATTGTCCGAAAGCGGTTGGATGGGAGAAAAATCAAAAAGGAAGTATGGGCCCAAGAATGGTCAATCTAAGTGAATGTATGGATCCCAAAAGGTATGCATTATTAGAAGTCTTCATGATCTAGTCCTAGTGGACACTAGAATTGTGTGTGTATATGGCTATTGGAAGTTGTTGTCTCAGGCAAATATTTCGCATGTTTAGATTATTTAGAATATTCAGCCTTGTTTAAGAAATAAATGGGGGGTTGCCTCCTCCCCCAATCCTGTCAGCCAGTGCAAGCCACCAGGAGGAGGAGGAGAATGCAGTTCCACCCATTTTCCCTTCCTTGCTGCAGCCGCTCATTTTTTGGAGTGTTTTGTTCAGAGGTTTTCCTAACCCAGAGAGGATTTTGGAACAAACAGCGAGCTCCTGAAAAAAGGTAGCAGGATCTTCTCCACCAACTCCTCTTGCAGTCTTTTCTGTAGAATCCAAATCAGTGGAGACAGAAGACTTTCCCCCCATTTTTTAGACGCATCCTGTATCTTTGCAGACCAGGATGGTACCAGAGGATTTGCATAGTGCCTATCCCTGCTCTGGAGTGAACTAACAATGTAAAATGGTCTGTTTCTGTTTCCCTCTAGGCCATCAGTGTCAATTCTACTCACATTCCAGGGAAGGCTTAAATGTAGTAATGTGCATGTAAGATGAGAATTAGTGCTTTAGAGAAGGTGGAAGCTAGGCGACCAGACTAGCTTTTCCTCCACTTTTTCCATAACATGTGCAGGAGTTCTGAGAACAGATTTTGTTTCCAGACTTAAAATGAAACTCAATTCTATCTTTAAGTAAATACATGAAATCAAAGTATGGCATCTTAGCATGTAAGGGAGTTGCTGATATATGGCACCATATGTTTTGTAGTCAAGTATAAAACACAGGCCATCTGGCCAGTACTTTTTAAACCAATGTTTAAAATAAGCATTCATAGATCTCAGGATATTTAGTAATTTCTTTCATTCAGCTATTAGATAGTGTCACAAGAGGACTATATTTTAGATTCTGCCTAAATAAAACTGCTGCTATTTATCATTTCTAGTTTAATTAATGTTCCCTTATTAAAACAGTATTTTTCGCATACATTATACTTGATTTAATAATTGTATGAAAAATATTATATTAATGCAAAATACTAAAAATACAAATTGGATAGTACCTTAAAATCTGACAGGGTTCTTTCAGTAGTAATGTGTAATATTGAAGCATTTTTATAATTATGTTTTGAGATGCTCTTGCTTGTTCTTGGAATCTTTCATTATTTGATTTCTAACTGTAAATGCATTTCCTGTAGTTCCTATGTGTATGCAGGGCCGGCTGACCCGCTAGGCGAACTAGGCATTCGCCTAGAGCACCGGCTGGCCCTGGGGTGCCAAACAGGCACCCACCCACCCCAAAGCCCCCCAGCTCCATTGCCAACAGTCCTGCCGGCAAAGCGCCTCTCTCTCCGGCCCGGCCAAGGAGCCTCTCGACCGAGCCTGGGTGGGGTGCAAACGCTGAGGTGAAGCGCCTCTCCCTCCAGCCGGGCCAAGGAGAGAGAGAGGCTTAATTCAATTTCACACCGCTTGGGTCAGGCAGGCATCATTTATTCTCACCCACCCATTTTTATTTTAATCCTTATTTTATCCAAGTCCTTTTCTTTATTTTATCTTCCTCTATTTTGATTTTCCCCCCAAGATCCTCATTTTTTTTCTTTTGCTTTCCCCCCCAAGCCTCCTGGTTAATGAACCATCCTCTTATAAATGCTTTAAATGTTTCCCACACTGTTGCTATTGATATCTCCGGTTGTGTATTCCTTTTAAAGAATTCTTGAATCTCTGCTTTGGTTTTTTCCATAAACTCCTGGTCTTTTAAGAGACCTATATTCATGGTCCACCTAGTTCTTCTTTGTACTTCTTGAAAGGTTAACATTAAAGGACTATGGTCAGCAAACATGTTTGGAAGAATTTCAGCCTCTACCAGCTCATTCATCATTGTTACCGATATCCACGCCATATCAATTCTAGACCATGAATTATGTCTTGCCGAGTAACACGTATAATCTTTTGTATCTATGTTTCTAGTTCTCCATCTGTTGCCCTATGAGGCCCCTATTGTGCCTCTATGAACTTATAAGTTATGCAAACCTGATCTGTGCTAGTTGTGTGCAAAAGGGACTGAGCTGTGAGGTGACTCCAAATGATACCAGCCACAGACAAGCACCCAGAAGAAGGAAGCCTTCCTGTGAAAGGCTGTGCCCATGGTTCCTGTATGTCACCATCCCTCCTACCTGCAATAAGATGGACCAGTTCCCTAGCCATGTATAACACTAAGAAGCCAGGCTGCTGCCATGCCAGGCCAGAAGACAGGATCCAGACTCCTTGAAGAGTCCCTTCTCCTCACATGTAGGCAACATGTTTGTTCCCACCTAATACATCACTTAGTCGAAACTACAGCCATAAGACAACAAGAGAACAATGACTCTGGCCAGCAGAAGACATAATCCCATCAGGTGCCATTGTCCAAATTAGTTTTCCATTAGATTCAACATTGCCCACTCTTGTAGACCTTCGAACCCAGCACTAGTCAGCATATTTTTTTGGGACAAACTAGCAGGAGGTGTGCCAAGAGAGGTAGCAAAGCCTAGCCCACCCCTCAACCTCCTTATAAAAGAGAGCACTCAGCACCAGCTCTCTCTCTTGTCTACTTGCACTCTTGCTCCCTTACCTAATCCCCTCCTACCTGAAGTCTCCGACTCTTGGTTGTGCAGCCAGAGTCTCATCGTGCGCCTGCTGGCTCAGGGCACGACCCTTTCCCCGGCATCCCATAGCCCCCTCCTTTTTCTGAGATTCGCTCCATCCAACTCCAGACAGGTAGAGTATGTCCCATCATCGAAACATCCTGCTAGTGCGAATGTGCTATGCTCTTCTACCTATATTTCCTAGATGCTGTGTAATTGTATGTGTGCTTGTATTATTGTATGCTTGAAATATCTTCAGTAAACAACCCATTTTATACTGATGTCAGTCTCAGCGTCTATTTGGTGTGTCTGGAGGAAACGCAACCCCTGTATACACAGATGCTTGCCCCCACAGTCGCCTATTGCCTGATTTAAGATCATAACTCCCCATATTTAATAACGATTTAAGGCAATTTGGCTAACACATGTGTCTTTTATATTATATTCCTCTGCCGTTTGCAAGAACGTTTTAGGAAGAACGATTCCGGTATTGTTATCTTTTACTTGGTTTTTTCTATCCATTTTTTAGTCAAATACTGCATTATAATCCCCTATAACGCACATATCGTCAAATGTTTTTGTTGCTAAAATTTAACGTACCTCTGCAAAGAAGGTTTCCTGATTTTGATTAGGCACATATATGTTTAAAATTAGTGTGTTTTTTTTCTTTTGACTTAAAATTGTAATTGCTATTATTCTTCCATCATCTGATGTGTATTGTAATTCTGGGCAAAGATAATCTTTAACATATATTGCCACACCTCTTCCACGCCTCTTTCATTTTTAAAATCTGCTGCTAGGAAAAGATTTCCTAGTTTTTTAGATGTTAAGTATGTTATATCTTCTTTTCTAATGTGTGTCTCCTGAAAACAAAAAATATCTGCTTCTAGTTTAGAGATTTGGTGAAATGTTGTTCTTCTTTTTTGTGGGCTATTAAGCCCGTTCACATTAATGAAGAGAATTTTAAGTCCTTTAGTTCTTGCCATTTTTGTTCTTATTTTCTTTTGCCTTGCTTCAGTATTGAAGTCTTGTGAGGATTTGTGATGGTGTCTGTTCTTCGTTTTCCCTTTCTCAATATTTTCATTTTTATTCTTTTCATTTCTTGCCCTGGTGCATCCTCCTCTTTTTCAGATTCCACTTCCTCTTCTTCTTGCCACCCTAGATCTTTTTCATGTCTCTCAGGAAAATCTTCGACTTTAAACGTGGAGTCTATTTTCTGCCTTCTGCCCCCATAGTTAACTAACAAATCCTCTGGTATCAACCATCTATATGTGATTCCATTATTTCTCAGGATATCTGTTAATACTCCATAATTATGTTGTTTCTCTCTAACTCTCCATGGTATCTCTTTTAAAAATCTAATCTCTGCCTCTTGTATGGTTACTATATTGTCGTTTGTTGCTCTTAAGATTTTGTCTTGCATTTCCCTTCTATTAAATTTTATACGTACTTCCCGAGGTACTTTATTTCTTCTTGCATAGGATGAGTTTCTTCTATAAATTGCATCAATTTCTGCTGCTAGCTCTTCGTTTGTTCCTATTTCAAGTTGTTCCGTTAAACTCTGTATCATTTCTTCCTTTAGATTTTTCTCAATAGTTTCTGGAACATTTTGGCATCTCAAAATTAAAGCAGCCTTATCCATTTCTAAATTTATCAATGTTTCCTCATTTTTTTTGCTTTTGGATTTTAGTTGTTGAACCTCATAATCTAATTCCTGTGCTTTATCTTCCATTTCTTTACTGACCACTGTAATTTTTAGTATTTCCTGCTTATTTTCTGTTATTTTTTAATCTCTTCTGTTTCTGTCTTAATTTGTTGTGTTATTTCTTCCATTTTCAATTGTATAGGTTCTGTTTCTCTCTTAATTAACAGTGGAAGTGTATTTTCAACTGTGGCTTTCACTGCCTGTGTTACACTGTCTTGTATCAGAGTTTTCAAATCTTTCATTGTCATTTGTGTAATACTCATTATGTTTAGTCTCAGTTGACTTTGTGATCCTAACTGTCCCGGAGATGTGATAGATGATTTCCTAGTTTCACTATTTCCTGTGGCCATCTATTATGTCTATTCTTATCCTGTCTAGAATTATAGAGAGTTCTAATAAATTTTCTTTTTAATGTTTCTTATTCTTTTTTATGGAGAAAGAAGGGTATTAGTTTAGCCTAAAGGTCGTTTTTTATAAATTAAAGGGTGGAGAAGAGAAAAAAAGAGGAAAAAACCCCTCAACGTGTGTATACCTCAGTTTATGTCAGTTCCGTTGTTATTTAAACCTATCTACTATCTGCTGTTCCTTTAGTTCTTTCTTTCTATGTTTTAACTCAGTTCCGTTATTATTTAAACCTATCTACTAACTGCTGTTCCTTTAGTTCTTTCTTTCTATGTTTTAACTCAGTCTTTAACTTTATTTTCAATGTCCCTCCTGTTTCAGTCCCTATGGTATTTTCTTCTGCATGTTATCACTTTTCTCCGTCTTTAAGCCTTTCCGTACTCCTTGCCACTTTTCGTCTCTCCTCTTCTTCTCGTCCCAGCTTGTACCATGTCACGTCACATCTCTCTTCCCCTCTCGCACCACGTCACACCCTTCTCTTTGTCATCCGCTCCTTGTCGTCTCATCTCCATCCCGTTTAGACCGCTTCCGACAATAAAGAGCTTCCGCCTTCACCCACTTGAAGTAGATTCTTCCAGTTAGGTAAGGAAGAAAGAGAAAATTTATAGGTTAAAGTCAGTCCAGTTATAATTTCCCCGCACCCCTTTAACTAATCCTGGTTTTTTTCCAGCGTCTTTCCAAACATCCTTTCATGGCCACCTTAAAGGGATACTCCCTTTATTTGCTCGTTCTTTAAAGCCAACGGGGGTGGTTCTCCTTTTACAAATCCCTTATTTGTCCCCCCCTCCAATAGAGGATTTAAAGTATATTGACAAGAAATTTTACTTAGCTTTTGTTAGTCTGTAGTCTTTTTTTTGAAGTTGTCGCTCTTAGACCCTGTTGGTTCTACTGGGTTTGGCTAGTGCCCCACGGTGTTGAAGTCACGCTGGGCGTCCTTGTAGCTTTCCGCTTTGGAGTGATCCCCAAGAGGCCAAGGGGGCTGCCGCCCACACTCTGTTATGAGGCAAGCTCCCTGCTATGTCTCTCTCTACAGGAGAGCACATAATTCGGTGATGGAGTTTGCCTAGAAAGCTATAGGAATAGCATGGGCGAGCAGAGACTTTCCGCTCGCACCCACTGTCAGTGAGCCCAGAACCTGAACTGTCTCATCTCCCACATTTTTATAAGGAAAATTACAGAAGCAGAGGGAGAGAAAGGGAGGAGCTGGGAACCAAACCCTGCAGCAGACCTAAATGCCAATTTTGTCCCCTCATGCATTCAGGTAAATACTTTTATAGAGCAAAATAACATCAAATATACCATCTTGGGTTTTTCTACTTTCACATAGTCCAATTTAATATATGCTATCATGAGCCCAACAGTGCCCTTCTACTGCCAACATGTTGTTTTTGTGTTTTTTTTTTGGGGGGGTAGGAAACTTATCTCTGTTTTTCTTTTTGTCTTGTTTTTATTTCTATCCATCTTTAGATTTTATGTATACAAAATTTGGCCATTTGCAATAAACTACTACTGTTACTACATTGGACAAATGTGTCAGTCCCTACATAAGAGAATCAATTAACACAGATACAACATTTCTTAATCACAACTTTCAGAAACCAGTGGGGGGGAACATTTCAGTTTTCTTGCATATACTATTGCAGATCTGAAAGTCATTCTACAAAAAAACTACAAAGGCAATATACAACATTAAAGTGCTGAATTAGCACTCATCAAGAAACACCTTCTGTCACCTGGCTTAAACAGACTTGAGTTTCCTTTCTATAATTTATAATAATTCAACAAGCCCTACTTTTTAGAAACTTTAGTTTGCTGATCTTGTTGCATCATACTAACCTTTACTGGTGCCATTCATTTTCTTATGTGTCAAACTGCTTTTTGCTGGGTCAGTTGCCGTTTAATCCTATTTAATTACATTTTTGTTTATCTGCACCCCATGAGAAAGAGGCTGGAATCTCTGACGTCTGTCATTATCTATTACGTGCAACAACATCATCTCTTATAGTCTCTTACACAGAGAATCATGGCTGAAAGAGTTAGGATGGGATTCACACCGTTATCTGCCCCTAACTTCTCCCTTTCCCCCTCCCCCTTCTGTACTTTTCCTTTAAAAAATGTGGAACATTATTTTCATAGTATGTGAAGAAGGAAGCTCTGACATACGGAAACTCATAACAGAATAATTGTTATACTACCAGTTGTACACTTGTTATACTACAAGGACTTGTTATATTACAGGACTTCTGCTTTATCTTTAATTCATTGCTGAACTTAGATTTTAACTTCCATTTTTGGCCTATAAAATCTTCTAAAAGGCAATGATAGTGCAACTTTTAGATCTCATAATCTGTTGGGGGGTTTTGTCCTTGGTCCTTCGGCTGACACCTGAATTTTGTACTTTGGAACTTGGTTTTCCTGAGACAATATTCATTGTTTGAAATACTGACTAACAAAAAAGGGGGAGTGCAAAAATTAAAAGTGAATAAAATGCAGGCTTTATTTTTAAAAAAGAAACACAAGAAGCTACCTGATACTGAATCAGGTTCATTATAGTCAATATTGGTTCATTATAGTCAATATTGTCTACTCAGAGTGGCAGTAGCTCTCCAGGTTCTCAGGCTGAGGTCTTTCATATCACCTCCTACCTAATCCTTTTAACTGGAGATGCCAAGGATTGAACCTGGGACCTTCGGCATGCCAAGCTTGCAGAAACAGTAAAAGTAGAGAAGACATTCATAAAAGAGCGATTACAAGAATCTGTTATATACTCAGTTTGTTTCTGTGGAGGAATAAAATACTTAGGTATATTCAATATGTTTCTTATTTATTGCACAGGTTAGCAGAATCATCAGTGGATCTTAATCTTAAATTGATGTGCTGGCGGCTAGTACCCACTCTTGACCTGGAGAAAGTTGTGTCTGCAAAGTGTCTTCTTCTAGGAGCTGGTACGCTGGGTTGTAGTGTAGCCAGAACATTGATGGCAAGTACTGATGCTACTCCCCCCAAATTCTAATGTAGTTCCATTATTTTGCGCCAGAGAATCTGTAAAGCTAATCTGATAAATGAATAGTTCTTCCAAATTTTCAGTGGACAATTGCTGTTTCTTCCTCCTGTGTGCAGTGTACAGCTCTCCTCTTGGGCACCCATTCTTCTGGCTGTCCTTGTATGTGTTCTGCGGACATGTAGGGAGAATACTGGGTTATAGCTTTCACAGTTTGAAGCTCAAATATAAGCAATTATACATTATAAAATAAAATTACAAATAGTTCCAAATTGAGATTAAATAATCTTTCGGCGGAAAAAATGTTTCTACAGTTACTGAAGTTTTTGTGATGTATTATGTCTAAAATAAAAGGTTGGCTTGACCAAGGAAATATCAGTTGCGTTTTGAATAAAGTATTGAGGTAACAAGAAAAGTATCTACCCTCACTGCCCACAATTTCATTGTACTTGTTAGTGGGGAGTGTTTAGTATAATGGTTCTTATAGCATAAAATGGATTTACCCTTATTATAAGGGATGATCCCGACCTCTTTTAGTGTACCTCTATGTACTAGTTCAGAAGTTACCAGAGTGGTGTAGTTGTTTCTTAGCAATGAATGTGTCCCGTGCTGCGCTTGTGACCTTTGAAGGGTGGGATCATATGGAGTCAGCAGGGTAATGTGAGTGTTATGGACCCACATGTCAACAGACCAAACAGGTGAACCTGTCTGACCCATCATACCCACCTGGTTCTGTCTTTCAGAAGTTACTAGAGCAGCATGGAGTCCAGCAATGAACATGAAGAATGACACTGAACTGATCATTTTATCAGATGATGGGGCAGCATGTCAATGTGTCTTTCCTTCTTGTCAGTGTGAAATGGGTACCTTCTCTGATCTCTTGTTCTGAGGATTAGTATTAGGGATAGAATGAATGCAAGGTCTTTATTAAACCTATGAGATTAAAAAGGTGTTTCTCTTTTTTCCTTATTTGTGCAAGAGCTCACATCCTCCTTTGATTTTTTCGCTCAGGGATGGGGAGTCAGGAAGATCACATTTGTGGATAATGCAAAGATCTCTTATTCAAACCCTGTACGGCAGCCACTTTATGAGTTTGAAGACTGTCTTGGGGGTGGAAAGTCTAAGGCACTTGCAGCAGCAGACAGGCTTCAAAAAATATTCCCAGGAGTGGTAAGTATAATATTTTAATCTGATTTGATCTACAAAATGCCTAAGGGTTTAATGAGCCCGGTTGGTTGCCCACTAGTACCTAGAGCTCCAGTGGCAAGAAATGGGGGAGAAATGTGCCTGCATCCCCCCTTTCAGTGAAAACCAAAAGTGATGGTATGGGATTTCCTGGGATTTACAAAAAAATCCATGGTTTTACCATGAAGATTTTGCAAATTCTAGAGCATCCCATGATGTCACTTCCAGTTGCGATACCACTGTGTGGTGCCACCATGCCAGTCCCTGCCCCCTAAATGCTCCCACAGTTGCTGCTGTGCTCTGGTAACCCTGTGTACAATTTGCATGTCTGGTTACCTCTTCGGTTGGTACATGATGGAGTCTTGATGAAAGGAAGTTAAAACCAGGAGTACAGGCTTTTTTTTGTAAGATTGAGGACAAATCTTGGAAAGAGAATGGATACCTGAATGCAGTAGTGGTTGGAGAGATCATTTTCAGTGCATTGTGATTTCTCCCACCACCAGCTTTCCAATTATTGCATAGTTCAGTGTTGTAGGATGACGCTTAGGCAGTCTGAAGTCATAGCCTCAGGAGCTTTTCCTTCAGTGAACTGTGATTAGTCAGAAAGACATTTTTCATATGCTCACAGTACTGCTTCCTATCTTTCTGAACTGAGTCCTTGCATTTAAAGAGGCTATAGTGCTCTTCAGCAACCTAAATGTCATTCACCAATCCTGTTTTTAGCTTGCTGCTATCTGGAATCATACATTTGATTAGGCATTGAGTCTTGAATGGTTATCTGCCACTCACTTGCTGATTGCTAATTCCTTATATGAATAAGAAAACTAGGGTTACTGAGGAGCATTGCTCATTAGTGTAAAAAGCTGTTTTCTGGCTGCTAAAATAGTCCTAATAAGAATGCTTGCCTTATCACTTGCTCTGAGAAAAAGAAGCTCTGGAAAAATTGAACTAGAAAACCCCCAAATACCCAAGTATTGTCAAAGAAATGCAAATGATCTAATTGTTGTCCTCGTAGCATTGTTTGTGAATGCATGTGGCTGGTCCATTTACAAGAGTTTCATTATATAACTAGGGTTCCATTGCTGTGTTGCACTTAAAAAAGGTCTCTTTTGCAAATGCAAAAGAAGATGTATATTAACGTTAGCTAAAAATTAGAAGAGTACAGTTTTGAATGTCAAATGCATTTGCTTGCAGCAGGTAAGATCCTCTGTGTATCATGGATAATTCCATATTAACACAAACTGAATTTGCAATGGAAAATATTTTGTGCCATCTGCTGGACAATACATTCAACTATAGTACGAGCTGTATATGCAACTATCCTTTTATTTTATTCATTCATTCATGTATACCCCACGTTGTCCCCTTTTTTCTATTTTATCCTCATAACAGCAACCCTGTGAGGTAGGTTAGAATGAGCGTGTTTGACTGGCCCGAGGTCACCAAGCAAGCTTCCATGGCAGAGTGGGGATTCATTACTGGATCTCCAGCACTCTAACCACTACACCACACTGGCTTTGTATTTTGTAGTTTTACAGTACCAGCCTGTCCATACAAACCATGATGTTTGTATGCAATCATTTCTGGATGACAAATTAGAGTATGTTGTATATCTCAATCTGTAACTTTGCTTAAGTTAAAAAAAAATCTGGTTCTTTCTTGGAGCTCCAGTTCAATATAGGCATTATTTTTACTCACATTAATTAATTAATAGTTGTAAAAGATTCCTTCATGATATCCATAGCTTTGGAGATGGGGGTGTCATCAATATGCCGATGATATCCAACTAACGTCACAATAAATAAGGACTCGGGTGCTGCTGTCTCTTCCCTAATCCACTCACGATGGAGGTTATGTTGGTCAGAAAGGCTGCTGCTTTGGGTGGGGTTGGTTCTTCCTACTATTGAGGGAGCCCAGCATTCTTAGATGGACTCTGTGAAGAGCTTAAGAGACCTTCTGGATCCATCTCTCCTGTGAAAGAAGCAGGTCAAGAATGGCAGAGAAGAATGTTTGCTTTTGGCTGCATGTGGTAAAGCTGACCCCCTTTTTGGTCAACAGCCTATTTATTTATTTATTATTAATTTTGATTTATATCCCGCCTTGCCAGCACAGGCAGGCTGAAGGTGGCATACAATCGTTAAAATACAATAAAAGACAGATGCGAAAGCGCAACACTATAAAATTTCACAAACAACAATATATATACAAAATGCAGTTAAGTGCAGATGGCAATTGCTGTATGATGATCCAGTGTGGCTAAGCTGGTATCCAAGTTGTTCTTAATGCCATTAACGTGAGGGCCGTAACAGTTCAGTTTTAATAGCTCAATCATCAGTGGTGGCTCCTAGTCGAAGGCCTGGTGGAAGAGCTCCATTTTACAGTCCCTGTGGAACTGTAAAAGGTCCCGCAGGGCCCTGATGTCTTCCAGGAGCTCGTTCCACCAGTGTGGAGCCGCCACTGAGAAGGCCCTAGCTCTGGTGATGGCCAATCTGGCATCTTTCAGACCAGGGAGAGTCAGGCGATTTTGCGACCCTGACCTCAGTGCTTTCTGGGGGACATATGGGGAAAGGTGGTCCCTCAGGTAGTTGGCCCCCGACCATATAGGGATTTAAAGGTAAAAAACAGCACCTTGAAGTGAATCCAGTATGCTGTTGGCAGCCAGTGCAATGGCTTCAGCACAGGCTGGATGTGCTCTTGTATAGAGAGGCCCATCAGGAGCCTGGCTGCCGCATTTTGCACTAGCTGCAGCTTCTGGATTTGGGCCAAGGGCAGCCCCATGTAGAGAGCGTTGCAGTAGTCCAATCTCGAGGTGACCATAGCATGGATCACCGCTGCCAGGTCATTGTGTTTGAGGAAGGGAACCACCTGCCTGATCAGCCGTAGATGGTAAAAGGCTCCCTTGGCAATGGCTGCTACCTGGGCCTCCATTGTTAAGGTGGCATCCAGGAGCACGCCCAAACTCCTGACCCTTGGCACTGGTACCAGCGGCACCCCATTGAAGGTCGGTAATGGGATCCCTATCACCGATCCTCTCCGATTCAGGCACAGGACCTCCGTCTTCATCAGATTCAATTTCAATCGGCTCAGTCTAAGCCAGCCCACCACGTCCTGAAGTGCCTGGTCCAGGTCATCTGGGGTAGAGTCAGACTGACCAGCCAACAACAGATATACCTGGGTGTCATCTGCATATTGGTGACAACCTAGCCTGTGCCTCCGGGCAATCTGGGCAAGGGGGCGCATGTAGATGTTAAATAACATTGGGGGTAGCACCGCCCCTTGGGGAACCCCGCAAGCCAGTGGGTACCTCTGGGATGTCTGGTTCCCCAACGCCACCCTCTGTCCCCAACCTTGGAGAAAGGAGACAAGCCATTGCAGGGCAAGCCCCTGAATCCCAGTGTTGGCGAGGTGGTGGATCAGTAACTGATGGTCGATCATGTCAGACACCGCCGACAGGTCCAACAGCAGCAGTGCCACCGTGCCGCCCCGATCCAGATGCCTCCAGAGGTCATCTGTGAGGACGACCAGTGCCGTCTCCATCCCATGGCCTGGAAGAAAGCTGGACTGGAAAGAGTCTAGCATGGAAGTGTCATCCATAAAGCTTTGCAACTAAATCGCCACCACTCTCTCGAGTAATTTGCCCAAATAGGGCAAATTTGAGACCAGCCGATAGATAGCCAATTCGGCCGGGTCCAAGGATAGTTTTCTCAAGGGAGGGCGGACCATCGCTTCCTTGAGTGCCCTTGGGAACAGTCCCTCGATAAGGGATGTTGATAGGTGATAAGGCACCTCGAAACCCCTCATGGCCAGCTTTTATAAGCCATGAAGAGCACGGATCAAGGCTGCACGTGGGTGGGCGTACAGTTGAGAGCAACAGCTGTCCTGTTGATCTGTGTTTCAGTAACCTCCAGGCTCATTATTGCAACATTCTCTGTATTGGACTGACCTTGAAGATTGTTTGAAAACTTCAGCTGGTGCAAAGTTCAGCAGCCCATTTGCTATCTGGTATGGGCTGCTGGGAGTGCTATACTCCCATTTTGAGATCTTTTCACTCATTGCCTATTTTTTTCCCCCTGGGCCAAATCAGGGTGCTGATGCTTACCTTTAAAGCTCTTCATCACCTGTGACTTACATGACTGAAGGGCTGGCTCTCCTTATATGTATCCCTCCAGCATCTCTGCTTGTAACAGCAATGTCTTCTTTCCCACCCCCACGCAGAGTATATTGTCTGGACGTGGGTGTTTTCAGTCACTGCCTCCTTTCTTTAGAACACTTTCCTGAAGAAGATAAGAGGTGTCCCACCTTGTTGACCTCTCAGACAGGCTGTGGAACTGGAGGGTTTTTGGGACCTGTTAAGGACGATAGGTGGAGCATGGCCACATTAACTGGTTTTCTACATTATTATAATTATCTGGCTGTGTGTTTTTAATTCAGTGATGCTATTTCGCTGTATCTCTTTAATGTGTTGTCATTTGTATTTTCATTATGTGGTTGTCTTTTGTCCCAACTGGGTTGGAAGAAAAACAGGCTTAAAAATATTAAATACATAATTTTTTTAAAAAGTAGTATAAATCCCATTTTGTGCAATCCAGCATGCTCAACAGTTACGTTTGTTTGTGCAAGGATCTCAGTTTCCCAGCAGCTGGTTCACGTATTGACTGCTCGGAAACAATGATACCCTGAAAACAGTAGTGATTAGTGGGTCAGCATTGTCTGGGCAGATTAGTGACAGCTGCCCCATCTGTCAGGAAAAACTGTAGCGTCTGGGACAGCCTTTGGTGCTCCTTGCTAGGATATATAGTTTATGTGTGGGGGCTCTGTCACCTATACATTTAGTTGTTTTCTAATGCAGCTGTCCAGTAACAAAGATATTTATGCAATGGTCTCTTTAAATGTGCTTTGTTTTTCTGAGCCTTATACATTACTTGCCTGTTTGCTCTTCCAATGGGCTGGCACCTGTTCTGTTTGGCATTTTGTCTGCTTGCTTGATTCATTGTTTTTTTCAGTTTTGTCATTCTTTATTGCACCTGGAACATAAAGTCACAGGAAGCAGCACTATCACCTTACGATTACTACGAAGTACAGTTGAAGTGTTTAATATTTACCTTATTTGAAATAATGCATTTCCTAAATATTTCCAACCAGACAGAGCCTTTAGGATAAGGCTTAATTACTTAGTTTGGCATGTGGATTGTCATACGTCGTAGCAATAAGATTGTATACCAGTGTTCCTTTCTCATAAACAAGAAGCCTTCTTCCAATGGAAGAAGCCTCAGTTGTCAATTGCATCCAACCCATAGATTTTTGCCACTGTCTTGAGAAGTCATATGTCTTAAATTACATATTATATGAAAGCATTACCTTGTGGTCAAGTACCCCTTTTATGTATTCTTCCCTTTTAGAATGCTGAAGGTTTCAACATGAGCATCCCAATGCCAGGTCACCCAGTGAATTTTTCTGAAGTCACCATGGAGCAGGCTCGCAGGGATGTGGCGCAGCTGGAAAATCTCATTGAAATGCATGATATCATCTTTTTATTAATGGACACTCGTGAAAGCAGATGGCTTCCAGCTGTAATTGCAGCTAGCAAGAGGAAGGTACTGTATAGAGACGTTGCTAGTACCCCAGAGGCATACCATAAGCAGCACACCACCGTTTGCGTAGGCTGTTTGAAAGCATTTGGTACATATGTATGATTGTTGATTAAACCATGGGTCAGACTTTTCAGTTGCACTTTTTTTTAGCTGCTGGTCGCTTGAAATGTCTCTGAGCATTTTAGTGAATATAAAACTTAGTTCATCACAATTATGTTAGGGTTATCTGAAAGAGGCAGTGATCAGTTTAGCACCACTGATGTATTTGATGTGTAGAAGCTGTTTCGAAAAGCATTTCTGACGACTTGTCTTTAATTCAGGTGTAATGCCATACTTTTGTTTGGTGCTGTGTGAATGAGCTGCGAAGGACCTCTGGGCTTACTTGTGTGCTTCATCTCCCTTTGCTTCAGTGCCACAGTCTGATTAGTTAGATCATGTTTTGATGCAAAACCATAGTTTGCAGTTACAGCAGATTCATCAGACTATAGCTTGTGCTTGATTTGCAAATCAGAATTGTAAGCGGAAACAAACTGTGGCTTGCAATCGTATTTGTAAGGCCTGTCCAAACTATAGTTTGCCCTATTGGATTTATTGCCAAGTTATGGCTAGTAGTAAAAAGAATGTAACAAATTGGCTCTTGGTGCTTGAGGGGAGGAGAGGCTGTGGGGAGGATGCAACATCTGAAACACATCTCCAGGAGCATATCTCTGCGTTCTTTCCTGGCAGTGTATAAAATAGATTAGATTATGTAAAATGTACTTTGTGTATAGTTTGGGAGTCTCTGTAGCCTGTTGAGCACTAAAGATACCAGCAACAGCAACATTGTATACCCTGTTTCCCCAAAAATAAGACCTACCCCAAAAATAAGCCCTAGCAGGATTTCTATGCATTTGTGGTATAAGCCATATTGTGTCTTCTTGAGAAAAAATAAATATAAGACAGTGTCTTATTTTCAGGGAAACACGGTACTATCCAGAAGGATACAAATATACCTGCTGTGCACCTCGTCCCCTGTTTTACATTGCAACAGTTTCTCCCACTTCAGTCCACAAATTCTTTTTAAATGGTGGTAGAAAAATGGACTGTGTGGTTATTGTTGGAACTGGTACTTTGTTGCATGTAATTGGGGGAGTCTCTATGCAGTCTATTGAATAGGCCATTTAATTCACTAAGAGTGAAAGTATTATGGGCAACTTCATTTTTTGTCCAAAGATTTGTTGATACCAGAGGAGTCAGGAAAGATTGCTCAACATACGGTTGAACACTTACACTTGCTGTATATGATGAATATCTAAACTCATATTTAAGCAGAAGCACTGATAGGTTTGTCAGTGTAACTGGGAGCCAAAAATGAAGTTTGTTTTTTTTATTTGGTTGGATCCAAATCACTGCAAGTGGAGTGAAGCTTGCAAAATGGGAACTTCCTGCTTTCTATGTCAGGCTGCAGCCAACTGAATCCCCTGACATTCTACTGCCGTGGAGGGAACCAAGGATTACAGTGGCAGTTTGCAGTGGGATGAGGAAATTAGTAAAAAAAAAGGGGGGACCCGCGATACTCGCGGGGGAGGGGGGAGAAGAGCTCCGTCTCCTCCATCCCCCCCATCTCCCCGCGGCGGCGACGAGGCCGGTTTTCCCCCCCCCGCCTTCTTCAGGCATACGGGCACCTCTGGACCCAGCCTAATGTTTTTAAATAGTGCTACTTTTGTCTGCATTTGACCTGAATTTCACTTTGTGTTCTTTTGAATATTTTTATGAAGTTGGTCATCAATGCTGCATTGGGATTCGACACCTTTGTGGTGATGAGACACGGGCTGAAAAAACCCAAGCATCAAGAGGTGGGCGATTCTCCCTGCAATAACCCTGCTGGATCAGCGGATCTTTTAGGATCGTCACTGTTTTCAAACATTCCTGGCTATAAACTTGGTTGCTATTTCTGCAATGACGTCGTAGCACCAGGAGATGTAAGTAGACTTCATATTAACTGCTTCTCTCTGGGTTGTTTTTAAGGGTCTTAGTTTTTAATACAGTCTTCTTATGAAACATCTGTGTTGAATCAGTACTGTCCTGGTTTATTTTTTTAAAGAATTTGTGCAGTGGGACAGATTGGAGGGATAACACTGAAAACTGCATTTCTTTGTAGTCCACCAGGGATCGGACATTAGATCAGCAATGCACAGTCAGTCGACCAGGGTTAGCCATGATAGCAGGAGCCCTTGCGGTAGAGTTAATGGTATCAATTTTACAACATCCAGAAGGGTAAGTCACAATTGTGGGAAAGGGGTAATTTTTTGACGTTTTTGTGAAATCATTCTCCACAGCTGTATGCATATCACCCTGGTGCACTGGGAAGATAAATCCCCCCATCTACTAATAGTTGTCCCAAGCAACAGCTGCACTCTGTGCATCTGCACTCCAGTACATGACTTATTAAATGCTAGGAATGATGTGGATCAAGATGGGTAACCATGTTAGTCTGTCTGTAGCAGCAGAACAGAGCAAGAGCTCAGTAGCACCTTAAAGACTAGCAAAATATGTGGCAGGGTATGAGCTTCTTCACATAGAGCTAGGAGTGATGTGGGTGAGCATAGTACTTAGGGATCCTCCCTCTCACAAGGGCATACTGGTGCATCCATTGAACTGTTTCCTCACAGTGCCCGCTGAAGAAAGCTGAGGTTGGTAATGACCAGTGGGTGGGAACAAAGCCTAATCTGCCAAATCCTAATCAAACCGAAACATCTGTATAGCACACCACAGGTATATTCCGTAGCATCAGGGACACTGAATGCAAATCAGATGAATGGAGCTGCTAGCATGGTGTTGTGGTTAAAGTGTTGGACTTGGAAACCCACGTTCATATCCCTCACTCTGACATGGGAAGCTTGCTGGGTGACTGTGAAGATAAAATAGAGGAAGGGAGAGTCATGTAAGCTGCTTTGAGTCCCCATTGGAGTGAAAGGGTCGTACTAACTTTTTAAAAATTGGGACTTCAGACTCTACATGACAAATAGTAGTCTTTATCCTTTATCTTTTTTTTTTTAAGCGGTTATGCTGTTGCTAGCAGTAGTGATGACAGAATGAATGAACCTCCCACCTCTCTTGGGCTTGTGCCTCACCAGGTTAGTAAATCAAGAATGAAGGAAGATACATTGCTATACTGTTGTGTAACAACTAAAAGTAGATATCAATAAATTGAATGTATTTCAGTATTTTTTTTTTTAACCCTATCTCTTATGCAGGGCTGTTCAGTAACTTGTAACTAGTTCTTTTTTTGTTCAATTCAGGATGAAATGAATTACAATCCTGTTACAAGAAGCAATAGGTTTATACTATAGTAATACAGGCATGAGGAGCTGCGGTGGCTCAAGTGGTTAAGTCGCTGAACTGCAGGCTGTGGAAGGTCGGTAGTTCAACAGTTCGAGACCCGAGTTGCCGCATGACGGAGTGAGCTCCCGTCTCTAGTTCCAGCTCCTGCCAACCTAGCAGTTCGAAAGCAAGAAATTGCAAGTAGATAAATAGGTACCACTTCGGTGGGAAGGTAACAGCGTTCCGTGCACCTTGGTGTTTAGTCATGCCGGCCACATGACCACGGAAACGTCTTCGGACAGCGCTGGCTCTTCGGCTTTGAAACAGAGATGAGCACCGAAACCCTAGAGTCGGATTCGACTGGCTTTCGAGCAAGGGAACCTTTACCTTTAATGCAGGCATGAATTACCCGAATTACCCTAACATGACTCAAGTGACAAGAGACCCAGCTGTCACATAGGGATGGTTCAGATGTGAGTCAGACTCAGATCAGTGCACTACTTCACTTCCTAGTTGTCAGCAAGTCATAGTTTGCTGCTTTACCCAAATTGGCAAACCATGTTTTGCAGTTTTCCTTTAAACCAGAATTGCAAACCACAATCAAATAATGGTTTAGTGGAATAGTACTGCAAGCTACAGTTTGTTGATTTGGGTAAATCTATGGTTTGCCAACACATAAGGTGTGATAGGTTTGCAAAGGGTTTTGAGGAAGTTTGGACAAATTGGTGAATTATAGTTGGCTTGCAACCAGTATGGGAAGAGAGGAAATAGGGAGGAGGGGACGCATGAGCTTAAGGTTTGCCCATAAGTCTTAGTCTGCAAATGTATATCATGACAAACCCTTGATTGTTCGTGGTGGGCAGGAATATTGCTTGTTTGCTGTGCTTTCAAGCTGCCTCAGTGCCCCCCTCCTTTCTTCTCCACTATGCATAGTACAATTCAGTTTCCTAGTTTGGAAAGCCTTTAGCAAGCCTCTAATTTGGTGTGATGTGTGAGTGCAGGCTCTTGGGTCAATCTGGTTTTGAATTTGCTCAAACTGAAATTCTTAATGTAGTTTAATCCAAATTTAGAATCCTGTCTTTAAATCATGCTTTCCATGAAAAAGGAGGAGAGAAATGGGAGGGAGATAATGTAGAATGAACTAGCCATGTTTATTGCTTTGATAAACAAGTTTGTTGTAATATTCAGATGTGTTTGCACTTACTTCCTGTGATGCTGAAACTTAAAATGGAACTGTTCTTATATTCTTAAAATGAATTGGCAAGACACTTCCCTTCATTTACCTTGTGCATGTAAATTGCTTCAGATGGCCTCAGGATGGACTGCTAAAATTCATCTACTCATCCCCGGAATGAGTTTTCCCAGGAAATTTACAGAATCCACTTCATTGGAAGTTTTAAAATATAAATCAAGAGATTTGACAGGCTTCCCTGCCCCGCACAGCAAATCCTTGTTTCCGAACGTAGAATTAGACTTGAGACTTCTCCCAAGGAATTATCCATAACCTGAAACTGGCTTTTTTTTCTTGGTTTATAACACATTTATGGAAAATACATTGTTATGAATCAATTCGCTCTATATTTCATAATAGAAGTTTAACTACAAGTGTAGTTTCGCTGTTCCTTGACTATGTTTGCGGGGTGGAATTATGAACAGCCAATGTAAGTGCGGAGGGCAGCACTGGGAGGATGCAAAGCTGGGATGGATAACAGCCCCTGAGCACAGCAATAAGGGAAGGCCTAGGGGGTTTGACCTCATTCAAGGGGCCATCTCCCAATCTGAGGCTACAGGCACCTTTGTAACACCTGCTTTATTCCAGAAGTATACACAGATTTATTGCTCATGTACTGTTGCACAACTTCTGCTCAGTTATAGAGAAACAGAGTTGAAACAAGGCCCCCCTTTCAGGGATAGAAACAGTAACTTATTTGATAGGTAAGTTCACTTCCTAAGTTAACAAGTGATTGGTCGTTTGTGAAAATTTAACATATAGTTATACTGTACTCCCTTTTTAATGGATTTTATGTAGAGCTTCATAGCTGTACTTGGATGCTTCTACTTAGTTTGCCTTGCCAATTACTTGCTAGTTTTTACAACTTAATAAAAGTGCAACCTTTTTGCTCTTTTATACAAAGAAATGGATTGCGCTTAGCTAATGTGCTTTCCTCATTGTGAAAATTAGATAGCACAAACAATTGCATTGGTCTCGGTTACCAGAAAATTTGTTGTTGTTTAGTCGCACAGTCGAGTCCGACTCTTCGCGACCCCATGGATCATCTCCCGCCAGGCCCTCCTGTCTTCCGCCGTCCTCTGAAGTTGGCTCAATTTCATGTTCGTTGCATTGATGACACTGTCTAACCATCTCATCCTTTGCCGTCCCCGTCTTCAGAAAATTACTCGCACATTAATATTTAGCCGTATTGCAAAATGTCATCCTGTGGGGGTCAGTATTTTCTTTCCCACTTTTTTTCAAGTATCAAAAAATAGTTTTCTGCTGGCTAAGGAGTTGTAATAGTATATAAGTTCTGTTTGCATATAGTATAGAATTAGAGGAAGTTGTGTACAATTTGGGATTAGAGGAAGAGCTTTCTTCAGTACAGAACATTTTGTTTTTCTTGTCTGAATTAGAAAAGTATTGATGGGTTTGCCATAATATAATTAACTCCCTATCACTCCTCATCTTTTATTGTCCTTTATGGCTCTCTTGCTGTGCATCAGTCTTCTAGCAGCTTGAGTGCTCAGCAAGTTTACCGCTTAGATTGTCCATAAACACACAGTATTACAGTGCTAATATAAATTGTGGTAGAAAGTAGCTTATTTTCTTTCAGTGTAGAATTTCTGTGGGCTTGATACAATGGTTCTTCTGATGTAGGCTTGCCAAGTCCCCCCGGAGGGTGGGGAAACCCTGGCCCCAGAGGCCCGTTCCCCGCCGCCAGCGGATCAGGCCCCGGGGGAACCCCACCCCCAAAGCACGCGACGTGCACATCACCCGGAAGTGACGCGACCACGCCAGGCACGCTGGGGGGAGGGCCACGGTCATCCGCGGGAAAACTCTATGGTTTCCCCTCGGATGGTCGTGGCCCCGCCCCAGTGTGCCCGGCGTGGTCGCGCCACTTCCGGATGATGTGGTTGCAGTGCTGGAGTACCCCACTCCAGCGCCGCTCGGACTTGGGAACCCTATTCTGATGGCGGAACCTTTATCCAGCACAAGGAATCTTTCTTTGGTTGAAGAGATGTGTTCTGATTGAAGGCTTTCTTGTGTCTGTAGAAAGTTCTGTTCATCTACTTACAAGCAAAGCTGTATTGTAGATGAATTCTGTGCCATGCAGCAATTTCCATGCTCCTCTGAAGGAGCAGGAAAAGGATGCCATGGGTGTTCACTTCTGTGCATAGTTACTCATGGTTTTCTGCTGCATAGACACTGAAGAAACTTCAGGCTTGTTTTTGCAATCCCTATTCCTTTTGTGCACAGCAAAACATTTAATTAGTTTTTATAAACCAAGCAATCATGATTTAGAGTTATCAAAGTTTGACTTCTGACCAGAGCTTGAATTGATTTGTGAATCCTGAACCATGGTTAGCCCATAATAAATACTGGAAGGAGCAAGACTTGCTTATCATGTGACAGGCAAATATGAAAGGCATGTACAGTGTGCCCCTGATCTCTTAAATATGGTTAACAGATCAGCAGCATTATCATTGCTGTAGGCCTTTGTAAGGCCTATAGATGGCTTCAGTAGCTAGTCTGCCTTTTCTACAGGAAAAGGGTTTCATTTCAGTTGTAGAGGTACAGGCTTAATCTGATTCACAGATCTGAGATTCATAGAATGACTGTTGTGTCCAATTTAGAGTTAAATTCACTTTAAATTCAATGGGACTTAGGATCAGGTAAACGAACATTGGAATGTAGTTTTATATTAAGATAAATAATGCATCTTCTAATGATAAATGTACTGTAAAATCTTTTCTTGAAATAGCCCATCTGCAAACTTTCCTCAGGATAAATGTCATTGGGTATTTCTTAAATGGTTTATTGATCTTACCCAAAGGTTTCAGAAGGAGTTTGAATCAGAAACCCCTAAAAATCTGGTTTAAGAAAGCTGAGATCTGTGTTTCTCAGGTTAACACCTTGAGGGTAAGCTACCATATTCCCAGCAATCTAATTCTCAATATGGGCCCCATCTGTGGAGACTGGGGCTATGAACACATCAGAGAGATCTTTCTATAAACCTGAAAAAAGTCCCAGGTTTGCAGAAAAATCTGAAATCCAACAACAACAACAACAATAATAATGATAGTGATAGTGATGATGATAATGATGATAAACTTGGGGAGGGTTAATGGTTAACATTAACTTCTCTGTGACTTGTCAGTAGCTTCAGTGATAAGGATGTTTCCTAAATGGGTTAGACTTGATACTGGACTCCTCCTCTAGCACTTACTGTAAACATTTTAAAATTCAGTTTGGTTAATTATTCCTTGTGGATGTGAGGTCGCTCTGGCTGTGACATCTGTCACCCCATTGATCGCCAGGGTTGATTCAGCTGATCTGGCTCGCTAGGCGGGTGTCCCCTACCACCCTCACCGCTCCATGTGCGTCCCTCCCGAAGCTGCGCGCTCGGTGGAACAAGACGGCCATCCCAGATAGAAGGAGTGTACCGTTCTTTGGTCAAGGGTATACGATAGCTGCGCTCCCCTGCTAGAACCTCCAAACAAGCTCAAATTATTCCTTGCTGTGTTTGCTTTGGAATACAATATCCAATGTCCTGTTGATAAGATTAATTTTTTTCAATGAAAAAGCAACTATAAAGAAGTAGTTAATAAGCATAAGAAGTGCATGGCATAAATGTTGGTTATAGGTAGTGAAGGGGAATTATGTGTCAGACTACCTTGCAGCTTGTAGTTCTGTCAGAGTACATAAATCCAGCTAGGCTGACAACTGAAGTTATACTTTAAAATGTTATCATTATTCAGTATGTTACCACTGGTATACTGTAATTTGTGACTCTTGCAATACAGCAGTGCTAAAACATTGGCTTGGATCTATTGCCTAGGAGTAGCCATGTTAATCTGTTGGAGCAAAATAAAACAGCAGCACCTTAAGGACTAACAGCATTTGTTTCAATATGAGTTTTCATGAATCAGAGCTCCCGTCTTCCAGTGGTTCTACATGACAACTTCAAAGTGAATATGTACACAAAAGCACTGAATCAAAACCCTTCAAGAAATACCACATCTTGGCTTATTGCTACCAGCTAGCATTCTTAAACTTCAGAATCCTTATCCTGATCTGTTGTATTTATCCTACCTCATAACTTTATTTGTACTGCAAGAGAAGACGTCTTCAGGTCCCGGGTCACAAAGTCCACCACCAGCAACATATATTGATTTCCCATATGATGACTACTGATTTTGTACCAAGACATTTTGTAAAATAAAGAGAACTAGGTTTAAAAATGCACATATGCTAGCCAGAAAGCATTTGCTTGAATGATATTACTATTTGGAACACTGGAAATGGAAGACAAACTAAGAAAGAAAGGTGATCCTTTTTATGGGCCCATAGTATCACATTACCAATTTTGTGCTTATTAAAGCCGATGGTTGGAAATATTCTAGTCTCAAACACTTCTGTAATACACAGAAATTTGGCTTCAAATAGGTGGAAAAGGAGCATGATGTACCCTTTCATCTTGACAATTGGTGTATGGCAAAAAACCAGGCAGTACATTTAATAGTGTTTTTCCTGCCATTCTGCTTGTTGTCCTCATGGGTTTTTTTCTTCACTGAGTCATCAATTGATGTAGTGAGAGAATTTAAACTCTAGGTGGTGCAGGGTGTCTGTTGATAGTACTGCCTGTATAACCAAAACATATCACATGCCAAATTTGTTTCAGCAGAAAGACATGTTAGCATTGATGGACTCTTGCTGTCCAGAACTATACATGTTAGCTGGGTTTTCTTTTTTTAAAAAAGGTGCTTTGATAGCACACTATTATTAGTCATATGATGGTGGTGTTCATCTGTTCTCTTTTCAGATTCGAGGTTTTTTATCAAGGTTTGATAATGTCCTTCCTGTCAGTCTGGCTTTTGACAAGTGTACTGCCTGTTCTCCGAAAGTAAGTTTGATTTAAGGTAACTTCTTTGACTACACAGAATAAGAATGATTTTTCTCTGCATATTGTTTTGCATACAACTCTAGTGGTGTCTGAGGCTTGGTTTATTACAAGATTTTTTAAACATTCATACTCACTTCCTTTAAATGTTGGCTGCCAAGTCAGTTGTTTAAGATTGCTTTTATTTTTATTTTTTGAGAGAGAGTGTGTGTGTGTCAGTTGGCAGGATTAAAAAGTACAAGATGATTATGTACTGTACACAGAACACAGTGTTCAGTAGTATATTTAGTTAGTTTTCTTTTTTCGGTCTTCAGCGCCTAATGTTAAGAATATTCGGTACATTGTTTACCCAACGTTCCCAAAATACAGAGCTGTCCGCCTTTTATTTATTTATTTATATTTGAATTTATATCCCGCCCTACCCCGAAGGCTCAGGGCGGCTCACAAGGGCACCATGTGCCAGTTAAAACAGTAATACAAAATTAAAAACAATAAATTACAATAAAACACAATAAAACATTTCATAAACTATTAGGCCAAGATGGATAGCTCTCACTTCCACAATTACTTTCTCAGGTCTTATCATCTAAAACCATGCCCAGGCGCCTCGCTCCGCCATTGGGGGCCAGGCAGTCATGCTGTTCATACGCAGTGCATAGGGGACGAAGATGGAATAATGGTGGCAGCGGCTCCTACTCAAAGGCCTGGCAGAAGAGCTCCGTCTTGCAGGCCCTGCGGAACTGAGAGAGGTCCTGCAGGGCCCGGATCTCTTCCGGGAGCTCTTTCCACCAGGTAGGAGCCGCCACCGAAAATGCCCTGGTCCTGGTCACCGCAAATTTAATTTCTCTCGGGCCTGGAATTTCCAGGAGGTGACACACACCCCCGACCATAGTGCCCTTGGGGGAACATATGGAGAAAGGCGGTCCCTTCGGTAGGCTCAGGTAGGCTCAGTAGCTCAGCAGGGACAGGTGGTCTTCCTCCACTGCCTTACCCTATCCTGAGCTATGCTGAGGGTTCCTCTCATATGAGCTTGAATTTCTGATGTTGGAGAAGCTTGAGGAATCCAGGTATGACAGTATTTCCCATGCCACTAAGGTAATACCGGGACAGAAGAGACGTGGGATTTGTTTGCTGCCTGTGTGACAAAGTCAAAGACTTGTTCATATCCAAACTATGGATAAGAATGGTATCTTCCAGCTGATTGCCTTCATTTTGTGTTATACCAGGGCAGCTTCATTTTTTTTAATACATTGAGCTTTCACCACGACTGAGAGTGAGACCTTTGCTGTATTCCTAATTGATGTAACATCAATTAACTCTTGGTAAGAGAATCTCTGAACGTGTGACCTTTTGCCAATTTAGATACTTGCATCCTGTTTAGAATTTGGTGCCAGTCTGGGCTGTCACCAAATGTGGTGTGGCAGAACCTTGTTTAGCTTTTCAGATGTAATGACTTGGGGCCCTATTAGGGAGTTAATTTCCAGGTAAGGTCTGGGGAAATAAGGCTTGAAGTTTTGAATAGCTTGGAGAAGCAGTCTCAATTTAAATGGAATTTGGAGATAAGCTTTCTTCTAGTTTTTCCTGATCTCTTCCTGTCTAACTTATCAATCTGAGACAGCTGGCGTCCCCCAGCCTTGGCTTTGCCTTCTATTCTTTGTGGCTCCTTGTACTAATCCCTCTCAAGCTTCTTCCTCTTTGCTGTTTTAACTTACCCTGTTCCTGTTACAGCTGTCCATCTTTTATAGCCCCGTTGCACCAATTAATCTGTAGGACTGACATCCAGTGAACTCAGTGGCCATATCTCTAGACTGGGCACCCCACATTTAACTTTCTAAAAGTAAAGGAGCACTTCAACATTTATTTCAGTGCCTGAGGAATAGTTTTGATATTCTTTCTAGTTCTTCCCTGCGGCCACCAGTTTTCATTCTTTTGATCTATCACCCTCTCCTTCATCTCTGCAAGCCTATTCTTTCTCCTGTTCCTTGCTTCTGACTTTGTCAGACCTTAGCAAAAAAAAATAAAAATCCAATATATTGAAAATAATTAAAACCAAAAAATACAGCTTTCCCAATATGTACATATTGTCTGAATTGATGCACATTTGAATAATTACTCTCAGGGAATGATTTGCCTTCTCATCAGGCTATTTTTACCCCTGCTCTGTCTAATAAAGAGATTTTGCACAAGTAACATAGGTTACAATGCTGGGATTTCTTTTGCCTGAAAACCTTATTGGCAAGCACTGCATTTAGTGGCTCAGAGTTCATTTCTGCACACACACACACACACACACACACACACACTTTATACCACACACACCGTTTCACAGCTTATGCAAGACTTTTTGAGTTCTTAGGTTTCTTCAGTTTTTCCTCAGGTGTATCAGTCCATGTTCAAGCAGTCATCTTGACTGAGAGCTCTTGCTGTGAATGCCAAGTAGTTCTGACTCATAATTTGGCTTGTGTGTAAGTGCTATTAACTCAGTGATGTCAGGGATTCATTGCAGGCATTTTCTCTTCACTTCTTGTACAATACATATCCTTCATACACTAACAATGCTACACTAACAATTCAATCCTATGTCAAATAATTCTAGTCTAAACCGACTAAATTCACTGGGCTTAGACTGGGATAATTTTTCATAGGTTTGTACTATAAATATATATTAAAGAGCCTCCGAGATCACTGGAAGTGAGGGCAAGAGCAAAGAATAAGGTAGCCCTTATGAGAACATGAGCATTTTCCTTCTAGAAACTTGCCTTTTGTAATAAAATGCCAGTTTTGTTAGTGTAACTAGTGTGTTTTATTAGGACTACAAGAATCTTCATATTGTATTCTAGAACTTACAAGGCATGTACCAAAGTGTGTCATGTCAGGAAGATAAACCTATCTTTAGTTAAATTCAGGTGGGTAGCTGTGGTGGTCTGAAGCAAAAGAACAAAGTCTGAGTCCAGTGATGCCTTTAAGATCGACAAAATTTAATTCTGGGTGTAAGCTTTTGTGTGCATGCACAGTCCTTCAGGAATCTGAAAAACTGTGCATGCACACAAAAGCTTTTAACCAGGATTAAACTATGTCAGTCTTAAAGGTTCCACTGGACTCAAACTTTTATCTTTAGTTAAGACATGTAAAGTTCAAGTAATAAAGCAATATTTGTACCCACTTAGTTTCCCCCCCATGAACCTCCCATGTGATTTTTTTGTATCTTGTTAGGTGCTAATTCTTAAAAACACCAGGGCTTGAGGTGGGGGGCAGGATGATAGCTTGACATTTGTTTGAATCCTCTGTACTGTAATAGCTAAGAATATAAGCAGTGAGCCAGCGAGTACCTCTCCCCACCCTGCTCAATCAAGGCTCATCTTATTTCATGAACTCACTTGGAGCCCTTAAGCGAAGCCATTATTTGTTGCTTCTTCCTTTTAATGATACAGGATTCACAGACACAGCACTGCAGTATGTGAACTACTTTAAACGTGCTATGAGGGGAAAGGTCTCCAATTTCAGCTGATTTATTACCTCAGTTGTAGTGCCCTCCCTACATGTTATTCCACAGAGTGTCATATCTTAAAGAGCAGTTTTTCAGGGAACACTAGGGGCTCTGGTGAAAGGAGGAAAAGAAGAAAGCCCAGAGATCTCTGCCCAGAGTTTTTAGGTCCAAGAGACTGATAGGAGCTATCTGTAGCAGTCATATTTAAATTAATTTCCAGGGCTGTTTTTGGGCAGGAACGCACAGGAACAGAGTTCCGGCTGGCTCCCAAGTTGGCCACGCCCAGCAGGAACTCATTAGCATAATAGGCCACACTCAACAGCAGAAACTCATTAGGATTAGCTACAATTAGAGGTATGTGGCCTAACATGCAAAAAGCCCTGGGTTTTGACAACAAACAAGGTAGAGAGAATAAGAAGCAATAGGTGGGTGTGGCTGGATGACCACACTTGGGGGTGTGGCCTAATATGTGAATGAGCTGTGCTGTCAGGGTGTGGCCTAATATGCTAATGAGTTCCTGCTGTTGGGTATGGCCTATTATGCTAATGAGTTCCTGCTGGGCTTTTTCTACAAAAAAAAGCCCTGTTAATTTCTATGCAGTCGGGATATGAACGTGCCTGTTCCCTCTGGTCAACTTTGACATTTGGGTGCCCCCGCCATCTGAGGTGAAACTGATGGCAACCTAAGAGAGGGCCTTCTCAGTCATGAGCCTGAAACTTTTGAACAGCCTGCCCAAGGACATTCATCTGTCTCCCTCTGTCGTTATTTTCAGCCAGCAGATGAGGACTTCCGTTTGATTTGGTGTGCCCACAGTAAACTCTTGCTGGCCCTCCTCCCTGATTGTGTGTGTGTGTTTTGTGTGTTTATGTGTCTTGAGTGTATTGTTAAATATTTTATATACATTTTAAATGTTATCTTAATATTTAAACATTATAATGCCTGATATTCGTCACCTTGGGGACCCTATTTTGGTGGAAAGGTAGCATATAAATGTTTCAAATAAACAAAATATTTAAAATGACTTTTCTGTGATGTTTTGTACAGCCTAAGGCCTAAAGCAGTGGCTTTCAAAATTTATGCCCTCAGGGAACCTTCTCTCCACAGTGACTTATTTGCTAAAGAACTTCTGTGCATTGTAGAGTATTTTGAGGCATACTGTTTGCTCGAGGTGCTGGCCAAGAATGTGGAGTTATGCTTTTCCCATAAAAACTGTCAGTGTTTCTTCAGTAGCATCCAACAGTCCCTTGTGGCTGTGCATTGTAAGGGAAAATTAGAAAAGGCAGACAATCTGTCTTTCAGGCAACTTTTCCTCTATTTCTTTCTCCCAGCAAGTTTCCAAGGAAGGCACTGTCCTATGTTTTGGGAGGGGCCATGGCTTGGTGGTAGAGCATCTGCTTTGTATGCAGAAGGTCCAAGGTTCAATCCAAGGTATCTCTGGTTGAAAGGATCAGGTAGTAGATGGTGTGAAAAAGCTCTATCTAACAACCTGGAGAGGTGCTGCCAATCTGATTAGACA